TCCCTTTCTCAGGCGGCCGCCCCGGCCCAGGCGAAGGCGGTGCGAAGGCGCGAGCCTCCCCCCCGCGCCGACCAACGGACCAATCCGGGCCCGTGAGGCAGGAAGAAGCCGGACGCTCCACGTCCTCCACACCCCTTGCCGGCAAAGGAGGGCGGAAGTGGCAGCTTGTGCCTGTTCGGCTTCGGTTCGGGTTCAGGAGACCTTAGAAGGTGCTGTTATTCCCTTTAATTCTATCATTTCGGCTGAGGCGAAAATCATATAAATTCCCTTCCCTGTCTCTGAGTCTACGGAACTGTTTAATTATTCCAACGTTCGTGTTTTGTATGGATCTAGGCCTTGAAAGTCGGGTAGCCATATTGGGTAAGGGCAACGTTACTACGGGGAGGGGCGGAAGAATCGCGTCAGTCAATAAATAGTAGAGCGCGACGGCGACGTAACTTGTCTTCGCCGGAAGAGAAGAATGCTGTGGTGGAGAAGCTGGGAGTGTGTGAGGTAAATAGGGGTTTGAGACCTTTCCTGAGAGTGGCGTGGCGGTGTGTCTTAACAAGCTCTTGGCTTACTCTTTAGTAATTAGGCAGTAAGCCGTGTAGGAAGTTGTAGACTTCTATTTGAACGTGTTTGGAGTTGAGCAGACTTTTGTTCGATTCCTTTTAGCTTTTAGGAAGTATCTATCACTTTCCATTTCCAGTTTAACGTAGTTATTTATGTTTATTGAGCAAACCTGAAGAAAGAGCACACCACGAGTACTGTACTTTTAGATGGGAAGCTGAGATTTGTCATCTTTTGTCCACTTTTTGTGATGCCTGGTTGATATAATTAACTGGTAGGCCTTTTTTAGGAGTTGTTTTTACCATTTCACCTTTGTGTTTTTAGGACTGCTTTTTTGTGATCCCTCCTGAAGTTCTGGTTTGCCTGTCATAGTTAAGCAGTATGTTTTAATGGCTTTCAATGCTTTTTATCTTCCACTTGATTATGTTTTCTTGGAAGTTCAATTCATTGTAGTGTTTGTGTATAATGAAGGGAAGATTCATTAAGGCTTCCTCTTACTTGATATTAGAAAATAATTTTTAAGGCTAGAGCCCTAAGAACTGCCATCTGAGAACATAGCTTGAAAATATTGCTTTTTGGGTGAAAACTGAGAGTTTTAGGGAGTTATAGTCCAAAAAATATATTTCCAAGTTTTTCGCAGGAGTTGTCCCATTAGGCTTGCTGGAATGTGTGGAGTTTACTTTAAATTACTCTGTTCCAATTTTGGGTTGACAGGAGCAATAGTTACAAATCTCATATTTCCATATTGTAAAATCAATGTTTCTGTTTTTAAAAACCTTCCTCCCACCAGGAGATATTGGCACTGGGACATTTTAAGAGGATGTTCATAACTGATTCTCTTTCATTTAACCCAAAGTTAGAAAGTCTGCACAGAAGTGGACATAGTACTCCAGAAAAGATCTGCTAAGCATGAATAAGCTACTAAAAACATAATATGATTTGCATGTGCAATTGAATATAATGCATCTAAAACAAGAGTCTAGCCACATGTATTGTTGTGGGCAACATGAATGCGCTGTTAGAAATCAGCTGAGGTAGTAACTGATTACTGTGTATATTGTCATTTAATGATGTAAACCACCTAGGGTCCTTTTAAAGGAGAAAGGTGGGATAAAAATATTTAATAAATAAATAAATTCTGTTTCTCCTCAGCACATTTATTGACTGTACAGAGAGAATATAAATCATAGTCACTTAGGAATAATAATTATACAAACCTTGTAGGGATTGTATCTCATTACAGAAGAAAGTGAATATTTTTTTAAAAACATTAGAGTGTGAAGATTTTGTTAAAATACTTATTGGATCGTGAGCATTTTCTAAAAACATTTAGAATAATGTTTTGGTGGTAAATTTGATACCTACTTTCTTGTAAATTACATTGCTCATCAAACAAAGTGTTTGGTTTTTTTTTCAGTATCCTAAGAAATATTATGGCTGAGAAGTGGGCCAGTGGACACTCCTCTTCAATATTATGTTTGAATGTAAGCAAAGATGGCCTCCTAGCTTCAGGAGCAGAAGGAGGGGAACTCACCATCTGGAGTGATGAAGGGAACCCATTAGAACATACAAAACTTAAGAAAGCAGATGATGTCACAAGTATTGTGTTCTCCCCCACCTGTCCCAGAAGGCTCTATGCTTCTCATGGTGAGACTGTTAGCGTGCTGGATACCAGGAATCTCAAAGAGCCAGTTGAATTTTTTCATGTAAACGAAGAAGAAATTAATTGCCTTTCAATAAACGAAACAGAAAATTTCTTAGCTGCGGCTGATGATTCTGGAGCAATAAAGATAATTGACCTGAAAAACAAGAAGTTAAGCCGGTGCTTAAGACGACATTCAAATATTTGTGCATCTGCTGTGTTCCGTCCGCAGAGACCTCAAAGTCTTCTTTCATGTGGTCTGGATATGAAGGTGATCAGCAGCTGAAAGCCATTTGCTGTATATCTCATACTAGCCAGATGTGTACACAAAGATATTAGATATGTTTTCTTCTTCTCTATTTTAGGTTGCTTTTTCTGGAGATCTCATGTATTACTAGATATAAACATATATACAGTATTTGATTTTCGGAAAATCAGACATTAAAAACGGGTAGGATGCCTGTCAGTTACTGTATTTTTTGCACCACAAAACGGGGTGGTGGAAAGTCTGTGCGTCTTATGGAGCGAAGAAAACAGATTATATTTTCCTGTTTTCTTCTCCTAAAAAATTGGTGCGTCTTATGGAAAGGTGCGTCTTATGGAGCGAAAAATATGGTAAGTTAAACTAGCAGGCAGTAGAAAAAGTAACAGCTCTTGCACAGTTGGCGACATTGGAGCCTCAGTGTCACTTATGTAGTCAAAATCAAATACTGAAGTAATTTAATGTAGGATCTAGAGTTGGGGCATGTTAACATTAGTTTTTGAGGACATGAAAAGTAATTTTTGCCTCACTCCACTGAGTACTCATCATTCTAAATAGTGTCTAGGGGTACAATTTTTATACTTCACTTAACCTTGGTGATTCTTCTGTTACCTATCCAGGGTGGCAGTCTTGAATGCCTGCTCTGTTTTCTTTCACTTAATTTGTGTGAGAAATATTTTAAATTCAATAAAATATTTAAGCTTTCAGGCCATGTATTTAGTAAATTTGAATGTTACAATATACAGTATGAGGCCGAAGCTCAAGTCAGCCATAATATGCTAACCTCCAGATTGTGACTTAGAAATTGGGAATGTGCTGCATGTAGTGTATTTAAATTTCTTGTGCATAGATTCTTTCTTCCCTTCCAGTGCTCAAGTCATGTTTGGGAAATCAAGAATATGGTGTTAACATTGAGCCAGAAAGTTTTGAATTACATGAGCAATTTTAATTGCTTATTTTAGGAAGACATTATTATTACCCTTAGCATGCTTTTACTATAAAACAAAGGAATACATAAACAAAAGCTGTTTTTATAGAGAAAGAGGTATTTCCAAGAACAGAGGTGAGTATTCTGTTGGGTATTTACATACAGACAACTAACGTCAATCATGTGACTGATTGCACCATTGATTTTGTAATCAGGAATGTAACCAATATCTTGTAAAACATTGCACTCACTTGTGCATGATTGTGTGCAAGAAAATCACTAATACTGGCCTGAAAATCAAATATTAGGAGATAGAAGAGTGAGAGACTATGAATTCCAAATGAGAGGTGCTTCTATTAAAAATCCTATTACCATTACCATCATCTAAAAATAGGACATTAACTGTCCTACTTAAAACATGTAAGTTTGATTTGTGGTATGCAGAGTTAATATTTGTTCTCTGTGGTAGTCCTTATAGTTTTAAGCGAAGGGGTAACATTTCCTCATCTTTGTTTACTATAAATAATATGTAACATATAGTTCTGCAAGATGTTTGAAGAATAGTGACTAAATTTTCATAGTTGGTATCATTGTGCCAGATGTCTGAAATGAAGTGAGAGCAATTATATTAAATATATGTTGTAGTCAATAATGATTCTCCCCCCCCCTCCTTATTGATGAAGCACAAAGGATCATCACTTCTGAGAGCTTCCTTGGGAAATGGGACTGCCTAAAAGGGAGTGTTAAATGTTGTAAAGAGTGTTACAAAGGTGACATCCATTTAATGTTCTTTAATAGAGTTTAGCTGCCTTTCTGAGATGGGTTTTGACTGTACTGTACTGTTTTAGAGTGATTCTGATCCTTCCTGGATGGCCAAAGTCAGAAGGTGATGTTGAAAGAATCATGTTTGATAGCTGACCATTGGTCTATGGTGTCCCTCAGGGCACAGTCCTGTCCCCTGTGTTATTTAGTATCTACATGAAACTGTGGGAAGAGGTGGCTCAACATTATCTTTCCTTTCTATCTGATTCTAAGAAAGTTGTTCTTTGCCTACACAAGTGTCTATTGTCAGTGATGGACTGAATGAGGGCTAACAAACTGAAACTTAAACCAGACAAGACAGAGGTGCTCCTGGTTAATCAAAAGGCAAATCAGGGGATAGGGATTCAGCCTGTGCTGGATGGGGTTATGTTCCCCCTAAAAATGCAAGTTTGCAGCTTGGGTACACTCCTGGGCCAAGGTTCCCTCTAAAGCAGGGGCCCCCAACCCCTGGTCCGCAGCCCAGTGCTGGTCCGTGGGCTTCCTTGAACTGGGACAGGGACATGGATCTCTGGCACCCGACACGGCTGCACGGTGGGTGTGTCACACTCATGGGTGGGCGTGTTGCGCTCACGGGTGGGGATGTCATGCATGTGCATGACACACCCCTCTGCAAAGCATGACACGCCCACCTGCAAGTGTGACATGCCCACTGTGCAGCCATGTGGGGTGCCAGAGATCCATGTCCGCAATCTGAAAAAGGTTGGGAACTGCTGCTCTACGGTATGTGCACCTCTCTGTGCAGGACTGCTCCTCTGTGCACCCACATAAAGTGGTTCCAGTTGTGATGGAATCCCATGCAGGGGGGCAGAGGCGCACTTGCAAGGGTGGAGCAAGGCTGAAAATTATAGGGAATTTTGTTCTTGACTCAACTCTGATCTTGGATGCACAAGTTTCAGTGGTGGTCAGAAGTGCAATTAAAGCTGGTGTAGCTGCACTCGTTCCTTCAGATGCCCGATATAGCCATAGTTACATGCCTTAGTTACTTACATCACACTTGGATTCTTGCAACACACTGTACATGGGGCTGCCTTTGTAAAGTATTCAGAAACTTCAGCTGGTACAAAATGAAGCTTATGACTTATAACAGCAGCTTCAGTGACTGCCAGTATATTTCTGGGCCCAATTCAAAGTGCTGGTTATTACCTATGAAGCCCTATATAGCTTGAGTTCAGGCTATTTGAAGGATCGTATCACCCCATATGAGCCTTCTCGCTTTTAACTTCTTCTGGGGAGGCCCTTTTCTTATTTTTCCACCACCTTCCCAAGCTCACTTGGTGAGGACATGAGAGGAGGCCTCAGTAGTTGCTCCCAGGCTTTCAAATGCACTGCCTGGAGAAGCAAGGTTGGCCCCCTCCCTCTTGTCCTTCCATCATCAGGCAAAGACATTCTTCAGGCAGACTTTTAAGCAATAAGTGTTGCAAGAATGCTTTGTTCATTAAACTTAGAGATGTTTAAATTGTTTTTGATCTTGGTTTTGACCTTGATAAATGTTGTAACTTTTTTTAAAATGGTATTCATATGGTATTTTAAAACTATTGTTGAATAGTTTTAGCTATTGTGAGCTGGCTTGGGTCCCCTATGGGGAGGAAGGCAGCATCTAATTAAGATACATAGAATATTTGTTATTGCTAATTTTTCATTGTTCTTGTCTGAAGGTTATGATGTGGACTTTGCAGAAAGCTCGCCCAGTTTGGATTGTGAACCTACAAGAGGATGACACAGACGAGCAGTCAAGTGATCAGCTATTTAACCCACCTCTGGCCCATTCCCTGTCTGTTTCTGCTTGTGGAAATGTCTTTGGCTGTGGAGCTGAAGATGGTAAAATCAGAATCTTCAGGGTAACAGGTGCTAAGTTTGAACAGGAGATGGTGTTTAAGGGTCATTCCTTAGGAGTCTCACAGATTTTCTTTTTGCCTGAACCCTATTGCTTCATTACTGGAGGGAATGATGGCAGAGTCATTTTATGGGATGTCTGCAATGAAATGGAAAAACTGAAGAGTCCAGTCAAGTCCACCAATAGAAGGAAAATTAGGATGCCCAGCACCAAAAAAGTTGATAAAATGAATGCAGAGCTTACAAATGAATGTGCACTCTTTTCACCAAAAGTAACCATTGATCATGGAGAGAAAGTCAACTGGATTTTATGTACAGAGATTAAAGGATCAAGGAAAGTACTGGTTGCTGATCAGTCTAGCAACATATCCAGCTATCCTATTTTTGAACTATAGACATATATTGGAAAATAACTTGTGTCCTTGTTATGTGGGCTGTTTAACACCCCCCCCACACACATTGTTCTTTTTTGGAAGTACCATTTTCAGCAAATTAAATGAACTCTAGATGTTCTCTATATATATATCTGAACATATTTATTTTGGTAATGATAAAGCTAATTCATTATATAGGTAACAGGCTATTTTAAGCTGAACCTGGTATAATCGTATCGAGGCTTGAAATAAAAACTGTCAGTTGTAAATGTGTGTAAATATATAAAAAACTCTGATTTGTATTTTAAAAACAGGAAAAAATAAAAATGGTCAATCTTAGTGCATGTTCTTGTAAGATCTAGTGGTGTCAAAAGACTCATTTTCAAAATATGCCTGTATTAAGCTGTAAGAGTAGGGGCCGCCTATGGTTTTCAAAGCTTTAGGCAGAACGTTCTCTGTCCCTGTCTGCCAGCCCCAGTAAAGATTGAAAGACTGAGCAGAAGGGAGACTACACAGCAGTCTGCAGCAGGTAGAGTTCATGGTGACTAGCCCAGTACTGGCAAGACATGCATTGGGTGACACAACTGCACCCACAACTTAGTGGATTTCTTCTTCTGTGCTGTGAAATCCTGTTTCTTATAGAAAACAAATGTTGTGATATTTAGTTGCTTGTTGTTGTTTAATCAAGTCGTGTACAACTCTTCGTGACCCCATGGATCAGAACATGCCAGGCCTTCCTGTCTTCCACTGCCTCCCAGAGTTTGGTCAAATTCGTGTTGGTAGCTTCAATGACACTGTCCAACCATCTTGTCCTCTGTCATCCCCTTCTCTTTCCTTCACACATTCCCAACATCAGGGTCTTTTCCAAGGAGTCTTCTCTTCTCATGAGATGGCCAAAGTATTGGAGCGTCAGCTTCAGGATCTGTCCTTCCAGTGAGCACTCAGGATTGGTTTCCTTCAGAATGGATAGGTTTGTTCTCTTTGCAGTCCAGGGGACTCTCAAGAGTCTTCTCTAGCACCCCAGTTCAAAAGCATCAATTCTTCAGCGGTCAGCCTTCTTTATGGTCCAGCACTCACTTCTATACATCGCTACTGGAAAAACCATAGCTTTGACTATGCGGACCTTTGTTGGCAAGGTGATGTCTCTGCTTTTTACGATGCTGTCTAGATTTGTCATTGCTTTCCTCCCTAGAAGCAGATGTCTTTTAATTTCATTGCTGCTGTCACCATCTCTTGTGATCATGGAGCCCAAGAAAGTAAAATCTGTCACTGTCTCTATATATTCCCCTTCTGTTTGCCAGGAGGTGATGGGACCAGTGGCCATGATCTTAGTTTTTTTGATGTTTAGCTTCAGACCATTTTTGGTGCTCTCCTCTTTCACCCTCATTAAGAGGTTCTTTAATTCCTCCTCACTTTCTGCCATCAGAGTGGTATTATCTGTATATCGGAGGTTGTTATTTCTTCCGGCAATGTTTATTTTGGCTTGAGATTCATCCAGTCCTGCCTTTGGCTTGATGTATTCTGCATACAAATTAAATAAGCAGGGAGGCAATATACGGTCTTGCTGTACTCCTTTCCCAATATAACTAATCACTGCTGGCTTGGTGCACACTCGAGCATCCCAGTTTAAAATTATTAATTGACAGTAGTGACTAATTGTTATGCCACTTGCCTTCTGCATGCATAACAAAGAAGCAGGATTTCAGCTAATGGAAGTCTCATAGACCTTGGCATAAATACAGCTTAAGATATCTGATAGACAGTGATAAACTACAGTAGTTTTCAGTTTCCCTGAGAATTCAGCAGCCAAAATCCTGTTACTGCTGCAGTACTTTCCATCTTGTCTAGTCTGTGGATTAGGGGCTGAATAAATGGCTGAACTGCATCACTGAATCCTATAGCAAAAGCTGCCAGGGTGTTTCAAAATGTTTTTTCATTTTTGAAGCTATGTAGTCAGCATGAGTCAAACAGCTGATTCGTCAACCACCTGTTTTTTTTACCTAGCATGTATTTCCACTCAGTTTTGTGTATTGAAAGATACATGCCCTAGTTCATATTATGTAAAGGTAGGTATGTTCTTAGCTCATATCAGAAAGAGCCAGTAAAGAATCTAGTTCCCCTCATTTTTTTCAATATTCTCTACCTTTTGAAAAGTGGATAGATCTTGCTCAGAGTAGCTTAGGAGTAAAACATTTATAAAGAACCCATGTTATCCTATGGAAACACAGAATATGTGAACAAATCAGGTTACAAATCATACTTGATTTGTTCTCCTAAAATACATGATAACAAAGTCCTAAAAGCTAACTGGGAAAATATTAGTGATAAGAAAAGCTTTATGATGAGGTTAAAAATCCTACAGGGATGAATTTGGGTGAGACTTTGAGCAAATTGCCAGATAATTTGGGACTTCACTACAGAGATGCCATGATTTATCTGCTCTCTGAATGAACATGCCTACCTCTACACATCTTGAGCCCTGCAGATTCCAATATTTTGGTATCTACTCTTGATCTTAGAATACTGTACAAAGATACAGTATATGAAATTCAGATTTTGGTATCATAGTTGCATATGAAGGATATATGTACTTATGAATAGTTGTTTTTATCTTTAAGATAGCTGTTTCTCTTACCCATATTGCTAATGTATGGGGCAGGGAATAGGACAGCTATTTATTCACTTGTGTATTTTTGAACTCAGTATCCTTTGTATAATGCTATAAATGAGCATTAGGTACATTATTAGTATTGAGTACATTATACAAAAGCATAAGATGCCCATACTCCTTTGTAAAACCACTCTGCGGTCCTACGTCCTGCTTTCATTTAGTAGGAGCACCCCAGAACAAGCAGGTAGGGAAGAGGCTACACATTTGGCTGCAATCCTTCCAACTCAACCCCTTCAGCCTGCTATGCAATGTGTGCTGCAAGGTTAAACACTTAAAACTATGATAGGCTCCCATTGAAATCAGTTCTAACAATTCAGTAGCTTAAGCATGACAAGGACTGAAAAATTAGTACTACACTTCCCCTCTTAGTCACTGTCAGACACCAGCTTGAAAGGATTTGTATAGTTTATTTTATAAGGAAAGGGAAAATAAAAAAATAAAGGGCTAATTCAAAACTGGAAAACAGTTCCAGATCAAAAACTACTATGGGCGCAGGATTACAGGATATAAAATAGAAACCAGAAAATAGTAAACACTGCCCTATCTGTATCACACCGAAGTAGAATGATGGAGTAAAACTGAGTGAATACTCCCTGTGTTCCTGGGCACAAGTTCTTACAAGATGTGCAGATGTCTACTAATGAGTAATACTATTGTTTGCTATGCAGTTTAGCTATGCTAAACTTCAAAAGATTCAAATTCTAATTTCCTATTTATACCCATTAATGCCCCATTGACACCTTGGTTGACGATTACATAATTACACTTAAACCTCTTTGATCATTCTTGCATGTTTCCTTTCCAGCTTCAAAATCTACAGGGTGAGACAATACACCAACTTCCTAACTTGCAGGTACCAGCATTTGGTAACTACTTTGATATACAAAATAGATAAACAAAAGATAAAATTTGAGTGTTAGACTTCTTTTTGAAGTCTTCTTGATCTCAAGTCTCATTTGAAGTAATCCAGGGCAGAGGTGCAAGAACAGGAGATTGGGAAAGAGGTGCAAACCAGTTGTCTTCCAGGTGAGAAAGTTTATATTCTCATGCCCTTACAGGCAGACAGAATAATCTATTAGACATATTTCATTTTCTTGTTTTTATTCTCTTCACAATATCTAATGAGAAAAAAGTATTTAGTATTGGTAATATTGACTTTTAATAAAGAATGGCAGAAAATTTTTAGTGGTGAGCTTCTGTTTCACAGGCGACATCGTGGGTCAGGCTAATTGAAGGATCGTATAATTCAAATATGTCTAAATATATTTAATTGGCATACTAACAATAGGTTTCAGCTCAATTGTATAAACATTTCTTAAATAAATATGAGTTCAGTATGACTTACTTCAAAATAAATAGAATTGCAATCTTGTAATTTATTATTTTGATATAAGCAATAGAAATAGTCACAGTTGGTCTGTTACAGTGCAGTAAATAATATGCTTGTGGGCATGTGCTAATAAGCTATACTTAGATGTCCTGGTTATTTAAAGCTTTACATGAAAACAACTGTCAATAGAACCTGGCTCCCTTATGGGTATAATTTTGATCTGCTAGAAAAAGAGAAACCAACCAAGATTCAGATGTATCTTTCAGAAGATGTCTAGAGAGGCAATATCTCTGTGTGCTCTGAACAAGACGTTAAACAGGTCACAAAGGGGAAGCAACAGCTTTGTTGGGCATGGGCTGTGGGAAGGAACTAATATAGTCTTGCTGCTGAAAATCTTATATGTTAGACAGTTACTGTATTTAAAATATTCATATCATACCTGATGAGCTTCCATGGTGACTTACAGTGGGTGTAATGTAATAAATAATAAGCTCAATAAGATTCCTTTCAAAGAGAGTGATGCTTTTTAAAGGCTTAGAGGTGGAGAGGGGATTATAGGAAATATATTTTCCAGGTTACAGCGATGAATATTTTATTGGACCTTAATTTATTCCTATAGAGATTATGAATGGAATGAAAATACTAAGCATACAAAATTAATATTACCAAATTGCAGAGTTTAAAATATTTTTTTTTATTTTGGAATATAACTGGTCCTAGGATCAAATCCAGCTAGGCTGCACTGGTATACTCTCTGCTTTGTGCATAATCCATTCCAAGTTTATAACGTCACATATGTTATGCTTCTATGACACCAAGAATCATAAGACAACTAGCTGCTTTTATTTGTTGTACAAAAGAATAAATAATTATTTCTAAATGAGCCTGTGAATAAAAAGATCCTAAATGTAACTATGCAAAAAAGAACAATCCCATTTTAAAAGAGGGTGGATGTTAGAATATCTATGAAAAAACAGAAGAACTTCTTTAGTTCAACATTAAAATATGTATAAGGGTATGAATAGGAGATTTGTACTCACTGAAACTTATGAGATAAAATCACATGTTAGGATTTAGCAATTATATAAATGTATTAAACTAGCCAATGTACTTTCTTATAACTTTAGTATAGATAATTAAATGTATTATGGAAAGCAACCATTCCTTACAAAGTGTGAAGACAACGTAGGCATTCCTGCAGCAGCAAAGAAACCTCATAAAATAATTAACACAGTTATCGTGTTTGAGTAAACAGGCCAAGGACACAGAAAAACTCTGTCCATCATTTTGGACAGGCCAGATGAAAAGGAAATGGAATTTGAAAAACATCTTAAGTAATACAAATACAGGAGACAGGTGATATCTTTATTGGACCACTTAAAACCCCCCCAAAAAAACAAAAACAGAGAGCTTTCAGTTATAGTTCATCTTCTTCAGACTGTGCACCAAGTACTTGTGGGTAGCTCCAAAATTATGTTTTTATTAAAGTCCCCAAATCTTATGGATTGCTGTTACAGCCAAATCTACCTGGAATACAGCTTGATGTCCTAGCAAGGTCCCGCTAATTTCCATTTCCATTCCTGTGTTAATGATAATTGTCACTACGTTATATGTATCCTGATCAGGTCACAGCCCCAGATTAACCATTAAGCAAAATAAGCATATGCTTAGGGTATCAACAAGGAAAGGGGGCACCACAGAGGGGTTTTTTTTCGGTGCTGGATTTACCATTGACTATGGTGCAAATGATGCATCCTCAACAAATCACATCCATCCATCCCTCACCCTTGGCTTTCTCCCTCAGGAGCCCCAAGAAAACCACCTATCTACCTAAAGAAATAGAGTATGAACCAGTGAAAACAAAAAACTATAAAGTGAGAAAAGTCATGTTATGAGTGAAATGATGAGTCATCATAATAATAATTTCTTAATGTTTGGTTTGTTTGTTTTAAACTTCTGTATTTGGGGAGGTTGGGCAGGGATAAGGATAAAAAGGGCTACTGGTCTTTTAGACTCATGACCTCTGCACTATATGGACAAGCCAAAGAAATAACAGCCACTGCTAAAAATGCCCCAGGAGGGGCATTATTTGAACCTTTTAGTTTACAGATTCTGACAAAATCTGTTCACATTAATCAAAGTTTGAAAGTGCAAGATTTTACTGGAAGCCAGTAATTTGATTGTATATATGATTTTGTATATGATATATGGTTCTTTTTTGCCACATAGTATACAATTAAATTGCCATATTTTCATGCATGTAATGTGTGAATTTTTCAAGCCATGGGCACGTGTTATATTTGTAGGGGGCACCATAATCTTTTCAGTGCTTATGGCCACTATAAGTCTTAATCCAGCCCTGCCTGGTTATGACTCTTGCCACCATGAGGGTATATATAAATACAAAAGACATGTACTTGCATTCCTTGTATCCGAAAAAGTGAGTTCTGATCCACAAAAATAATGCTGAAAGAAATCTGATAATCTTTAATATGCCCCAATATTTTTCCTTTTTCTCCATCATTTTCCTCTTTATTTTCACCATCATGTTGAGAAAAAATGGCATGACTACTTTCTCTGGGAATTCCTTTTGTCCTGCACAAACTCAAGGCTTTCCTGGAAAATTTGTTTCTGCTTATGATGGTCTAGTACAGCGGTACCCAACCTTTTTGGGACCATGGACTGGCTGAATCTCTGAGGAAGGTGGGGCACAGACACGCTCACGTGCATGCGCAAAGCGGTGGGGGAGCGTGCGCGGGCCTGCCAGCACCAGTGTGAGCCCTCCCCCACCCCTTTGCGCATGGGCAGGAGCGCCTGCATGCCCACCTGCACGCCTGCCCACCCCGCGGATTGACAACCTCTGCTAGAAAGAAGGCAAAATGTGCTCTGCAAGTGCTCATTGCTGTGCTGGGCACATCTGATTCCCAGTCAGTTTAGTACTGTTGCATTATTCATTGATGGTACATGATTGATCTTAATAAAAGGCTACTATTATAGGCTGTAGTTAGCCCCATACCAGGAGGAGGAGGAAGTCAAGTGAAATGCTTGCATCTGGCTTTTGAGGGTGCTAGCTCAGTAAGTCTCAGGGCTCAAGTGGCAGCTTTACAGCTCAGTCTTTCTCCTGATTTCACTGCAGAACAATCCTGAAATAATCTATCTCTGGAATAAACACAACAGAACTGAGAAAGAGATTGTAGTCATCTACATTGGTAGGAGACTAAAAGAAATACAAGAATACACATAGTGCTAATGGCACATACAATACAAACAAGGAAGCTATCACCAAAATTCTATGCTATTTATGGATTTAAAATAATTTTGATCTCGTGTGGACTTAAGGATTCTTATAAAAAATTTGGGAAGTTTTAGTGAAATATTCTATAAAGGTAGAGGCTCTAATTCTAAGCATCTTGGCTTCTAAATCTTAACAGAGTGGAGAACAAACTGCAGTCTATAGATGCTCAATTTACTGTACTAGATTCCAACATTCAGAAATTATCAGAGAAGTTTGACTTCCGTAGTACTGCCTTGGAGCATCAGATGGACCAGGATGAAATGTGGACATCACTGCTAGAAGACAGGTAAGAAAATGAAACGAATAACAGTAACATATTTCATGGACTAATATATTATCAGTGCATTAATTTGATGTTTTTCAAATCTTAACCTGGAAAGAAAAGCAATTTTAACTTTTATCTCAGTATCATGGACCTGAACACTGACTTAGCTCAGTTTAATTCTCTTTAGAATTAGTTCAAATAAACATTATTCCAAAGTTGATTATGCTAGGCTTGAGTTATGAAACCATGCTTCTTGATAAGTATAATTGGTATTGAGACTTTACACTACAATCTTAAACCTTGGGAGTAAATCCCATTGGCTGAAATTTTATTGCTTAGTGTAATAAACTGCACAACAGCAGACTCATTGAATCAGTAGGGATTTGGTGAATGAAATCTGCTTAGTGTAATAAACTGCACTAGAGCAGACTCATTGATCAGTAGGGATTTGGTGAATGAACTGCTCTGTATGTTCCCTTGATTCAAATGAGTCTACTCTAGTTGCTGCTTACTTTATCATGGTAAGTGACAGCTAAAGTAAGCCCATTTGAATCAATTGAAATTACAGAGAGGTGTATCCTGCTGATACAGTAAAGTAAGCCCATTTGAATCAATTGAAATTGCAGAGAGGTGGACTCACCAAATTCCTGCTGATACAGTGGGCTGATTCTAGTGTGATTTAATATGCTAGGACTTTTCAAACAGTACAAAAAAATCCACCCCCCTTTCTCTTGTTTCATCCCTGTTTGTTATGAAGCAATGTGGAGCTTACTGGAATATACATCTAAATTTCTGTTTTAAAAGTCATTTCTCGGAAAATTACTTATCTTCAGTAAATTATAGGTAAAGGTAAATGTTCCCCTTGACATTTAGTCAGTCGTGCTGACTCTAGGGGGTGGTGTTCATCCCCGTCTCCAAGCTGTAGAGCCAGTGTTTGTCCGAAAACAGTTTCCGTTGTCACGTGGCCAGCATGGCTATACATGGAATGCTGTTTACCTTCCCACCGAGGTGGTACCTATTTATCTACTCGCATTTGCATGCTTGCGAACTGCTAGGTTCGCGAGGAGCTGGGACAAAGCGACGGGAGCTCACTCCATCGCGTGGATTCGATCTTACGACTGCTGGTCTTCTGATCCTGCAGCACGCAAAGGCTTCTGCGGTTTAGCCCGTAGCGCTACCACGCAGCACCACCTTTAATAATTATATAGGAAATTCCTTTCTCTGCTAGACTTCCTTGTCCAGAACTTTTTTTTTCTCTTTCTTTCCCAATCCAAGGCTATTTAAAAGTGTTCGTCCAGGAAGCTCTCAAACCAAAATAACTCTCATAGGAAGAGCCATACAGTGGTGCCTCGCTTAGCGATGTTAATCCGTGCAGCAAAAATTGCTGCTATGCGATTTCATCGCTAAGCGATTTTAAAAAGCCCATAGAAACGCATTAAACACATTTAATGCGTTCCTGTCGGCTTAAAAACTAACCTTATGCGAAAATCCTCCATTGCGGTGGCCATTTTTGGTGCCTCTAAAGCGAGGCAAGACAGCTGCCAGCTGTTTTGTTTACCCGGCGGCCATTTTGAAACCGCCGATCAGCTGTTAAAAAAGGGGCGTTTCGCGATCATCACAAAGCGAAATTTCCCCATAGGGGCCATCGCAAAGCGATCGCTCTTGTGATGGAAAAAAGTCCATCGCAAAGCGATTTCATAGCTATACGGAGCGATCACTATGCCAGGCACCACTGTAATGTAAAAGTGTGCCCTGAACAAACCCCAGAATAAAATTCCTTCACCGCCACCCCCCAAAAAGCAGAGAAAGGCACAAGTTTTGTAGCTGTTATTACAGAGACCAGCCTTATACCAAGCATGATGGGAAAAGTATGAATAGCATCAGCAGTGAATCAGGTAAAGTACAGAGAACAAATGCTCTATTTTCTTTTTATCTCTCCAACAATATGCATGTTCTTGCTCGTGTAGCACTCTGCTAAATGAATCTATGTCTAGTGGGAAGGAATTGTTGATAAATAGGAATGGAAAACAATAGAGAGGGTGGCTGTATGTCCTCTTTTAGGAAAGATGTTTGAAATCAGTAGCGTTGATAGATAGGAATGGAAAACAATAGAGAGGGTGGCTGTATGTCCTCTTTTAGGAAAGACGGGCCTATCCATTCCAATATAATAAAAAGGTGATTCTTTGCATGTTTGAAATCAGTAGCAAAAAAATCTGAAGAGATGGAAAGGTTGAAGATCAACAGAAATAAACGATAATGGGTCATCAAAATGAGGAGTTCTTAAGATAGCATTATTTCATTGGGAAACAATTGTCACAGGGAAAGAAGTAGGCTGGATGCAAGAGGTAAAAAGACTGCTGTGGACTGCTTCCCTTTTTCTATTTGAAGAAGATGAGTTCCTGAGTGTGAAAACAGAGGAAGAGGAATGCAGAAAGGTAGCTTTACTAGACCCAAAGTCGTCAACCTCCAGTCCGCGACCCAGTACCAGTCCGTGGCGTAAGCTGGACCGGTCCGCAGAGACAGACTTCCCCCCCAACTCCCCTCCCCACAGCTGCTTTGGGCGCACACACGCGTGCCTGCGTAAGCGCTTCCCCACCCCTTCATGCATGCACCCCCAAGTGCATAGGGGGGTGCTTCGCCTTCCTCAGAGGCTCAGCCTGTCCACAGTCGCAAAACGGTTGGGGACCACTGCCCCAACCAACGTGTACATTGGAAGACGTGAACTGTAATACAAAAGTCACTTTTCCAAACTTTGTGAGGAGGAATAGGCTTTTGCTATTAAAAATCTAATATCCTCTCATGTTGCATTAAAATGAATCTATTTTTTTATAGGTTAGGTGTAGGGATAGGGGACAAGGGATATAGGATTGAATCTTGTGCTTGTTTGATAAACTGACTATACAGTATATTTTTTTACAGATTCACATCTGTAGAAGTTAACCTTTTCTACAGCTACATATGTGAAACTATTAATTGTCTACATTCTCAACTGACAAAAATGCTTCCGGATCTGGCAAGAGTCCTTCCTACTCTGACTTCTGTTCTGAGGAGGAAAAGAAAAAATCCAAGAATTCAGATGGCATGGGAGTCTGCACTGGAGATACTGGGGTTGCAAGAGGGAGATGTTAAAGCCCTGTGTGCATTTTTCATTACTCATAGTTTTAATGCATGCTACTATCCTGCTAACCAAAGACAAAGTTACACCAAAGATATCAACTCTATGATAAGGGAAGTGGTGAAGAACCAAATCCTTCAGCGCAGCCTTTTGCATGCTGTTTCTGTAGTGGAAAGGGGAAAACTTTAAGAAGTTTCCAAAAATAAAAAGCACTCTCAAAAGAATAACCTTCCTCTAGAAATGAAGTGTAAAACTAATCATACTTGGAAAATCCTACTATGTGGCTTTATGCTTTTTCTATAATTGCAGAAAGTAGCTCTCTGAACATGTATCAGCCTAATTGTATTAAACTGTGGTCCCCAGAACTGGACACAGTATTCTGGATGAGATCAGACCAAGGCACAATTGTGAGGGTTTGATTTTAGGCTCCTCTTTCAGTCCAAAGAAATCAGTAGATTTTTGTTGCTTCAAAACAGGTTAAAGATTTATTGGTGCATTTAACAATAAACAAGTGTCTGTGACATGATTATGAAACTTTTCTCCTCCTTCAAACAGGAATGGGTTGCCATAGCTGTTCCATGGTTCCGGCAAATCAGCAGGGACCCAGTCTCTCACTGGTCCCCCCCGCAAGGGCACGGTCTCGTCATCCCGATCACCATTCCACAGGGTTCGTCCCTCAGGTCTCGATCCTCCCAGGGTCCTCCCTGTAATACTTCCTCCTCATCTGTAATCCGCTTCCTCTTTAGGCACTCTCAGCCTCTCCCAGCATCCTGCCCAGGGATCCTCCATCCACACCCATTCCCAGCTGGCTGGCAATTGACTCTCCTTCCTCTTTACCTCTCCAGTTCCTGCCTCAAACTCCACCCTCTTTTTTTCTCTTTTCCCACCTTTTCCTCCTGAACCTCTCTCATTGTCACACCCTGCAAGTTCTCAGTTAACTCCCCTATTTCTTTCCCTTGCTGAGCTTGTGCCACAGGTTCTGGTGCTGGCTGGGGACTGTCCTCCTTGTTGTGGGGGAGGGACGACTCTCCAGCAAGTGGGGCATCTCTCTCGCCTTCTGTCTCACAACAATTAAGTTTGATTTTGGACACTAAAACATAACACAAAGACTAGACAATTCTATTTTGCCAACAAGTCCCTCTCCCCGTTGCTATGGTAGAAAGGTATGCAGCATTTATCAGCTTAGATCCTTTGAATCCTGTGGATTCACACATGAAATCTAGGTTTAATTCTTTGAATAGTAGGCAGTATTGCAAATGTTATGCCTCCACAGGTACTGATGTTTGTACAAGGTAGTTCATAGACAACTATTTGGCTTTACTTGGTTAAAGTAATCCCAGAAATGGTGCTGGCTTTCTTGAAACTTTACTGTGACTTTACATATTGCCTGTAATCCAATGGTTGTTGTGGTTTTTTTGGGCTGTTTGGCCATGTTCTGGAGGTTTTTCTTCCTAGTGTTTTACCAGTCTAATGGAGCTTGAGAGAGCCTTAAATGCTCTGAAGAAATTTCTTGCTACCAAAGCTGGCACTTCCATTGGAGTTCTGGCTGACATCTGGAAGGAAATGGCTTGAGAGAAGGGGCATACATAAGCCCTATTAATAAACTAGGGTTTGTGCTTGTGTGTACAGCAGGAACCTTTCTTCAAAACTCATCACTCAACCAGCAAAAGCAGTGATGGAGAAAGATAGAGGATAACCTCTTAACTTTAAGCATGTTCTGGAAACTGAATTCTTTAACTCTTGAATAGGATTGTATTCATTCTAAACTAGAAGAGTTTGCAGTGATGGATTGTAAACATAACAGCAAGCTGAAAGGTTATCTAGACAAGATAGAAATAATGATGGTTAGTAGGCAGGCAGATTCTGGTTTGTTTTGTATTCTCTCTAAAGAACAAGGTGCATAACTTGGGGATCATCCTGGATCTGATGTTATATCTGGGTATCTGTGTGACTGCTGTGGTTATTAATGTCTTTGACCAGTTTCAGTTGGTTCATCTGTGACCCTTGTTGGACATCTGGCCATGATTACACATGTCTTACATCATAAAACAAATTAGATTAACTGTAATGCATGTTGCATGTATCTGTCATTAAAGTGTGTTCAGAAACTCTAGTTAGTGCCAAATTCAGTGGTCTAAATATTTTCTGATGTTCACTGTTTGGATATTACACTTACCGGTATCCTGTACTATTTGCATGAGTCATTTGCTTTCAGGCACAGTTCACAAAAGCTTGTGTCCACAATATCTGAAGGAACACATCCTTTCATATGAACCTGTACAGCAGTCATAGTCCCTGCCCATATTCTACAGCCAATGGACGTGCACTTGGAAATGACAAGAGATGGGGCTTTTTCAATAGCTAGTTGTGGAACTCCTTCCCAAAAGAAGTTTTGTTATCTGTTTGATGGATTTTAGGAGGTAATGGACAGCCAAGATTTACTTATTTACCCTTTTAAAAACAGGTATTTTAATTTTTTGATGCTGTTTTTAAAGTAATTGTTTTAAATGTTTTATTGCATTCAGTTTCTACTGCATTAAAACATGTACAGTACTGTATTCTACATAACTGACATAAACCTCCTTGGGGAGTTCTTGATGACTGAAAGGTAGTATGCAATTTTTCACAGAACTGGCTTTGAGGTTGGCCTTAAGGATGGCTTTGTATGTATCAAAGAAGACATTGATCCCTCACTGAACAGTGTCACCATGGTCAGTTGGTTGCATAGCACCACCCTTCCAGTGTCCAGCGCAATGAAGCTACAAGATTGCAGATTTGCAGGGATTGATTTTGGGCTCAATGGAAAGCACAGCTTTGCTCACTTTTCAAAGCTATTGATAGGCTGTGAAGTGAGGAACCCCCATTCCCATTTAAAAAGCAGTGTAGGTGTGATGGCCAAAAGAAAACCTCCAGAAACTATAGTAGGGTCCAAACAAAGGAGGCACAAAAATTGGTGCAAGCTTTTGAGACCAGTATAATCAGACATGAATTTACAAAAAAGCAAGGCGCCTGGCTGCTACTGATGGTCAGTAAAGAATTTGATGTTAACCCATCCAGCCTAGGAGCAAAGCGCAGCCCTTATGTTAATAAAGGCCCAAATCCTCTTTTCATACCAAGATTTTATCTTTATTAGATTTGTATTATTATAAAAGATTTGTTCAAGCTTTTGGGGTTACCACTACTTCCTCTGGTGTAAGGGGGTGGCAAAAGGGCAGATCTCATTCCCACACACCCTCCGCACTACTGTACGATACAACTTTGAGGGAATGAGCTTTCCAGACCTTCAGACTGGACTCATCTCACACCAGGTTTCGCCCTGGGCCTGCTGAGAACAAGAAAACTAATACAATAGAATAAAACGGAACCCCCGAAACGCATCTACTGAAGCCGGCTGCAACCCACGTCACTTTCTGCCAATCCCTCCCCCTTCCCTGTCTCGAAGGCGCTGCAAGCCTCTCTCTTTCCTCTGAGAAAAGCACCTTTAAGTACGGAGTGCGGCGCAGGAGGCGGGACTACGGTAACACAGCTCGCGGATGGGATTGGCTATTGTCCGTCCTCGCGCGCTTGCGGAGAGGCGGGTCGAGGGCAGTGAGGGAAAAGGCCGTTGGGTTCGCGCGCTTTTGGCCTCCTCTGAAGGGGAGGAGTTTGCTGCGTTTGGCGTCGGGCGGCCTGTTTCTTCAGGGGTCCGTGAGGAGCGGGCCGGGGGATCAGCTTCGGAAACATTGAGGTCATGTTCGTTGTGGTTGTCCCACGGAGTTGAGGCCCGTCCTCCTCGACGGGCCCAGCGTATGAGGAGGATGTTGGGGGCTGATGCCTGGCCCGCTTCTCTTTTTCGCCTGTGAAGGTGGAAGTCGACGGGCTTTTTCGGGGCCTTTATTTGGTGACCGCGGGGGTAGAAGAGCTTTCGCAGGTTTTCCGTTCCGAGAATCATGTGAGGGGAAGAATCAGTAACAGGAATATCAGTTGAAATGCTCTGGACTGAAATACTCATAGAGGCCCTTTCTTTAAAAAGGGAGTTAGGTGCAAGAATAGTTTCCGAGTAAAGTGCTTGTGGGGTGTGCCCGGACTCCTGTCCCTGCAGCCCCATGTACTCCTCTGGCAAGGAGCTTCCTCAGACCCAGAACCAAAAATCGGGTGCCAGAAAGCTAAGGTGAGGTTTACGCTGGAACTAAGGGAAACAACGGGAAATGTACTTCCTCATTTGACTCCACATACGAGTTATGGCTTTTATATGAGAACCCCAGCAGCGCACGGGCATTTTTCTTAAGAAAATAATAATTTTCTGTGACATTCCATTCCGGTATAACTGAATTATCTGTATTTTTCCTTAACATCCTTTATTTTTACCACCAATTATAGAAACTGCTTTGAAATATGTTCTTGTTTGTAAATTGTCGTTTCAATTGTGTGTCTTTGGAGTGGAAAGCAATGTTCCAGTTTGCTTGAAATATTTTTGGGCTGTAATATATGGCAAGGCCCCTTTTATTATGCTGTAATCTTGTTTTCATCCTATATAACGAAATAAAACAGTCAGTTCAAAGACAATATGCTACTTCTCCTGCTTGGTACTTCACAACATGAATCAGAGAAGACTTAAAGTGATTCATTTCCCTTTCAATACAGTGTTTTGTTTGTTACTGCTAATACAGTATCTAACAAACTAAGCCTGCCAGCTATAAAACTAGTGTTCGACAAAAGGCCCAGTGCAAACCAGTATAATTTAGATATCAAGCAACATTGTAAGAGGGTGTCTGTCATTTCATTTGGATAGCTCTGGTTCAGGTCTCTGGCTGAGGGAGTCAGAGTTTGGGAGTTCTTTACCACTGTGCCTCCTTGATAGGGGCTGGACTCAATGATGCATAGGTCCCTTCCAGCTGCCAAGTTCTAGGTTTTTTTTAACCTTTTATTAGAAACTTGAATCCTTAGATATAACATCTCAGGCTATATTTTTGATTATTTTATTTATATTCTGCCTTTCTCATAGGGGAACCAAGGAAGCTCACAAAAATAAAAATAATACAATAATGAGTTTTAAATTTTATGGAAAAAGTGGTGAAAGGGGAAACTGGAGGATGATGCTGTGACTGCTATTAGAAAAAATGAGCCAAAAAGCTGATTTCAGTGGACCTGACTATTTCATATTGCATTTAATTTTGAGCAGATGACGTCTGATTGCAGATACTACTGATGGTCTAGACACCTATTTCTGGACTGAAAATGTCAAAACAATCAGAGGCCCCACTCTCCTTGTCGGACTGTCGTTGTAACATTTGCATGGATATCTTTTTGGAGCCAGTGACACTACCATGCCACCATACTCTTTGCAATTCCTGTTTCCAGCTTACAGTGGAAAAGGCCAGCCTGTGCTGTCCTTTTTGTCGTCGGCGAGTCTCGTCTTGGGCAAGATATAATGCTCGCAAGAACACTCTGATTAATTCAGAATTTTGGGAGAAGATTCAAAAGTATTTCCCAGAAGAATGCCAGCGCAGAATTAATGGACAAGACCTAGAAGAAGATAGTGAGTTAAACTTACTTCTTTTACCATGAGGCAGATAAGTATCCAGTGCTGTTTAGAAAGCTGTATAGTGCTATGGGAAAAGCAGTAAAATAAGCTTATTTCAACCAACTACCTAAGTGGTCTGTAATAAGACTCTCGTGCAGGTGATCACACAAGGATGTATTTCTGAGTTCAGATACGAACTTTGAGGAGAGGTTTTTTTTGTTTTCAATCATTAGTTTGTCAAAATCAGGAAAGTAGTGGCTATACTAGTAAAATATTTGTAGTTACCACATTTACTAGCCAGAATTCTATTACTTACGTTAGCATAGGTTGGACAATGTAAATCACAGTGGCAGATTGCCAGTAGTTAAAGAGTAGAGGGTCCTATTGCTTTTTATGCATCCAGTTACATGACTTGGTGCATGAAAAAGAATACAAGCTTCAGCTTCATAGCTCATGGCAATTCACCAATGATTCAAATCATTTGATGTGCAATAGCATATACAGTATAAGTGACAGGATATTGGCCACTGAGTTATTTGGAAGATTATAGTAATGGAGTAATTTAAGTATCCAGCCATTGCTGAAAGTGAGTGCTAGTCTGGTGGAATATTATGACTTTGTTTTCTTTGAATAGTTAAATGCCATTTAATTTCTTCAATCCTTTAAAAATCTATCTTCATTTTAACAGCAGCAGCAAATATTTGGAGTTATTGCATAGTGTTGCATAGGGTTTTTTTCTGATATTAACTCAAGGATTTGCCCATTAGTGTGTTTTATCCAGTAAAAAAATGATAATCCTACCAAAGGTGTCTGTGAATTTCGTTGTATGGGTATACTGTGTATATACTTACAATGACAATAAATTATATTATTATTATATTATTATTATTATTATAAAAGGTGAAACAATTATTTTTTTCTTCATAAGTCTGAAACCTCTTCATTATTATTGGATTTTACTTTAAGCCTTCTGTATAAGGATAATGGGAAACTGCTAAACAGTAAGTGGCATTCAGTGTATCGTGATATGATTTAGATGAATTCTTTCCTACAGTATAGTATGTGCTATATGACAGTATGCAGCTTCTACGTTTCAATAGGAATATGGCAATCTTAAAATAATGAAATGGTAATAACAGTATTTTCTTCCCTCTGTTGTTCTTCCTTCAGGTATAGCATGCATACCTCAGCCAGTACATTGCTTAAGTAAACCTGGAGAATTAAGGCAAGAATATGAAGCTGAGATAAGTAAGGTAAATCTAGAAATTTGGGTAGAGCTATTAGTAGTTTTCCAAGAAAGGACCAGCATTTACAGCCAGCTGGGGACAGCTTAATGATAGTGACAAAATGGCTGGACAACAAGCCTAGCCAAAATGTGCTGTCCTCTACCTGGTTTTACAGTACAGAACTAATATATTCAACCAATATAGTGTAAAACAGGTTACTAGTAAATGAAAAATGCTTGCTTTAGGCAGAAGCAGAACGACATGCTTATGAACAAGAAGAGAGAAGAGCAAGTGAAGCGTATATTCAAAGACTGTTAGCAGAAGAGGAGAGGGAGCAGAGGTTAGCAGAAGAAAAGAAAAAACATATGACGGAACAGTTACTACATGATGAAATGTTGGCACGTGAACTAAGTTTCAGTCTGGTAAGTTGATTAAGGTGAAACTGAGTGGGATCTTGATCTTGATGTACACAACTCTGAGCAGTTAAATGTAGGCCTATTGGTCCAAAAACATTAATTGGCTGGCTTATCCAGCTTTCAGGGCTTTAGTGAGACCTCAAAAGAGAGAGGGGTTAAGAGCACAGGGGAGCCACATGGAAAATGGAAAGATTGAAAGCCGTTCAGACTCAACCTCAGGGGATGCTTCTTGAACCCAGTCCTTTTCCACATTGTCTGATTAGGGGAGGAGCAGGAAAAATTAAGCCAATACAGTGGTGCCTCACATTATGACGTTCATTCGTTCCAACGAAATCGCTGTAGAACGAAAACGTCATGCGAAAATAAAAAGGCCATTGAAACCCCTTCAATACATTCCAGTGGGCTGGAAACTCACCGTCCAGCGAAGATCCTCCATACGGTGGCCATTTTCGGTGGCTGTCTTGCAAGGAATCCGTCCCAGAAAACAGCGGGGAGCCATTTTATTTACCTGGTGGCCATTTTGAAGCGGCCGATCAGCTGTTCTAAAAACATCGTTTTGCGAAGAATCGGTTCCTGAAGCAGGGAACCGATCATCGCAAAGCAAAAAAACACAATTCGGACCATCGTTTTGCGATTGCAATTGCGATAGCAAAAAGATCGTCGTAATGCGGTTTCATCATAATGTGGGGCAATCGTAAAGCGAGGCACTACTGTATATTACTCAGCCAGTGCGTAAGAGTTGCAGCTCCTTCAAGTATCAGCCAGGTCCCTTTCTCTGTGCAGAAGAAGGTACAAAACTCTGTCTTTCTGAAGCAAAGAAGAATAGGCTAAATGATGTCAGAGGATGGAACATCAAGGGAACGACTTGCATTAGTCTTTTAGATTGCCCCTTGGGAGCTGTCCGTTGCTATAATGCACTTTAGTCAACTGAATAAAGGCACAATTTTTTCATTTGTGTTTTTGAATTTGAAGAACAGGTCTGCTAAGGAGCACATACACAACTGCCTTTCCTCCAGCCCCTCCCCTTCTGATTCCTGCCAAACATCAAAAAGCAAATCGAGCAGTTCTGGTGACATTAAAATGTAAGTGAAATCCAATTATCTTTTCCGTTGGCTGTAACAGCATCTGCATTCCTGTATAGTTTATATACTGTGTGAAGGAAGAGATTTGTAGTCAGATTACTGTATAACAGATTTGCAATATGTCTTGATTTGGGAAGTTTTCCAGTGACATCTCTGTTATTTGAATAATAGATAAAGGTAAAGGTTCCCCTTGACATTTAGGCCAGTCGTGTCTGACTCTAGGGGCGGTGCTCATCCCCATTTCCAAGCCATAGGGCTAGTGTTTGTCCGTAGACAGTTTCAATGGTCACATGGCCAGCACAAATAGACACGGAACACCGTTACCCTCCCACCGTGGTGGTACATATTTATCTACAGTCGTGCCCCGCTTTACGATTACCCCATTTAACGACGAATCCGCTTTATGGTGAGGTTTTTGCAATCGCAAAACGATGGTTTGATTGGGGGTTTTCCACTTTGCTATGATCCATCCCCTGCTTTGGGAACTGATTTTTGCTTTACAAGGATCAAAAACAGCTGATCGTCGGGTTTCAAAATGGCCCCCCGCTGTGCTTGAGGACGGATTCCTCACTTCACAGGCATGGAAAATAGTCATCCCTATGGAGGATCTCCGCTGGACGATGAGTTTTCAGCCCATTGGAACACATTGAACGGTTTTCAATGCATTTCAATGGGCTCTTTTATTTCGCTTTATGACGTTTTCGCTCTACAATGATTTCGCTGGAACGAATTAACGTCGTCAAGCGAGGCACCACTGTACTTGCATTTTTACACACTTTCAAACTGCTAGGTTGGCAGGAGCTGGGATAATTGACGGGAGCTCACTCCGTCATGTGGATTCGAGCTTACGACTGCTGGTCTTCTGACCTTGCAGCACAGAGGCTTCTGTGGTTTAACTGGCAGTGCCACCACATCCCTATTTGAATAATAATTGCCCACAAAAGCTAGGGAGACAAGTGCTTTTTAAAAATTCTTGAACAGTAAAAATTTCTATTTCATAAAATATTGTGTACCTATTAACCCTGAAGTTTGGAAGTAAGACACTGAATCAAATTTTACTAACAAGTAAAGCTAGGAAAAATGTCTGAAATCCTGGAAACCGCCATCAATCATATAATATTGGACCGATGGACCACAGTATCCAGTGATATATCTGTAATGGTGCAGCTTTCTGAAAATGTTCTAGTTTCACATCAGATTTTAAATATTCTTGGTTCAAGTTTGTTGACATATTCAGTTTTGACCTTTGGCTGTGCTTAAAAAAACCACACCTCAGGATAGACACTTACCCACTTAAATGCATGTGACAAAACTGATTCTGCTTGAAATGGCTATGGCATACTCGGGAGCAGAACTGTACGTGCTACACAAACAGTGAGACTACCACAGCTCATTGCTGTCAAGAAAAGCTTTAATCCACAGGAATAAACAAATGGAGTGGCTGTTTTTAATCTCTGAAAAGATTCTGTTTGTAAAAAAGGAGGGCTTACTGCTGATATGCTTCAGCTACTTTAAATAATTGTTAAAGTTTTCAGTGACAGCATGAACTGTAACAGCATCGTGCTACACAAACAGTGAGACTACCACAGCTCATTGCTGTCAAGAAAAGCTTTAATCCACAGGAATAAACAAATGGAGTGGCTGTTTTTAATCTCTGAAAAGATTCTGTTTGTAAAAAAGGAGGGCTTACTGCTGATATGCTTCAGCTACTTTAAATAATTGTTAAAGTTTTCAGTGACAGCATGAACTGTAACAGCATAATAAATATACAGTGGTGCCTCGCATAGCGAGGTTAATCCGTTCCGGATTAACCTTCGCTATGCTGAAGCATCGCTGAACGGGGCAGCGATTTCCATTGGAACGCATTAAACATCGTTTAATGCGTTCCAAATAGGCCAAATACTCACCGTTCAGCGAAGCTTCAGGATGGCCGGCAGCCAAGCTACTTTAAATAATTGTTAAAGTTTTCAATGACAGCATGAACTGTAACAACATAATAAATATATTGGTTTACAAGAATCTGCATTACTCTTCATTGTATTATGGTAGATAAAAAAGCTACTTCTCTGAAATGATATTGCTAGTCCTTCAGTTTCAGTTGGTGTACCTTTCCAATGTGGTTTTTTAAGATCTATCAAGTGTCTGTTGCCTTAGATTCTGGAAATATTAGCCTGGTTTTTGTATAGCATAAAACTGGTTTTGTGGTGTTCATGCAAACCTAGGTCTCATCAGTATCCACCTCTTCTTTCTCACAGAGCTGTGAGGAGAAGATCAGAAGCAACTGGGTTAGTTTAGAATTGTTTTTAATTTAGCATTATATCTGAATGGAAAACTGTATTTAATCTCAGCTGGTTTATTGAGACAAACTGGATGCACAGGTTGATTTGTTTGAATTAGCTATTAAGATTAATCACAGTTTATTTTGGACATACATTGGTGCCTCGCTTAACGGCGATAATCCGTTCCAGGAAAATCGCTGTTAAGCGAAAACATCGTAAAGCGAAAATAAAAAGCCCATTGAAACGCATTGAAAACCTTTCAGTGTGTTCCAGTGGGCTTAAAACTCACCGTCCAGCGAAGATCCTCCATACGGCAGCCATTTTCTCTGCTTGTATAGCGAGGAATCCGTCCCTAAACACAGTGGTGAGCCATTTTATTTACCCGGCAGCCATTTTGAAACCACCGTTTAAACCCTGTTTAAACATCGTTTTGTGAAGAATTGGTTCTCGAAGCAGGGAACCGATCATCGCAAAGCGAAATTCCCCCATTTAGACCATTGTTTTGCGATCGCAAAAAAGATTGTCATAAAGTGGATTTGTCGTAATGTGGGGCAATTGTAAAGCGAGGCACCACTGTATGCTAATTTGAAGCAAAATATTCTAATCCCTTTTTATCACCTGTGCCAAAGGAGGAGAGGTTTGTTGAGAAGTCTGAGTGACATAACACTAAATCATACAGTGTATAGTGTTGTTACAGTACAGTCATTTTATCATGTTTAGTGTACTCTTCATCCTTACATTATACATTTAGCAGTAATCCTTTATCAGTAGCTGTGTGTTTCTTTCAGTTAATGATGTTCACAAACTACAGTGGTGCCTCGCACAGCGAGGTTAATCCGTTCCGGATTAACCCTCGCTGTGTGAAAACATCGCTGTACGGATCAAAAAAAGCCATTGGAACGCATTAAACTTAGTTTAATGCGTTCCAATAGCAGCTTTACTCACCGTACAGCGATGTTTCTCCGATGGCCGGCAGCCATTTTCGCGCCCTCCCCTCGCTTAACGAGGGCGCAAAAATGCTGCGCGCGGCCATTTTGGGGCTTCCGGCGGCCATTTTGAAGCCGCCGAACAGTTGATCGGCGGGGCACAAAGCGAAGGTCGGTAAGTGAACTGCTTACCGGCCTTCGCTCTGCGATTTTGAGCCATAGGGGCTGTCAGTGTGCGATCGCATTTGCGATCGCTAGAACGGCCCCGTTGTGCGGATTTGTCGTCCTACAGTGCACTCGTTGTGCGAGGCACCACTGTATAGGCTAGATTCATTTGAACTAATTTAAGTGGAATCACAATACGACATTGATTCCTGTACGTATTTACTTAGGACTACTGCATTCAGTGTTACTCATTCTTATGTAAATATAGAATTTTAGCTTTAATATGCATTCAACTTCATATCATGGTTCAGCATATGTAACTTTTGCAGTAGTCCAAAATAAAGAAGCCGAGCCTTATAACATCTTACCACATTGCTCAGAGATACAAGTCTATGCTTGTTGTATATCCTAAGGTGTTATTCACATATAGTAAAATCGGATTTTTGTTTCTCTGAAGGTATTTCTCTCCAAAGTCCTGCAATGCCATGCCTCGCAGGTTGCTCTTCAGAAAATCAGAGGAGGAAAAGGTTGACTCATTTTCTGGGGTAATATAAAAAGCAATTTTCTCTATAGTATAAAGGAAGAAATTTCGGTCTTCTCATATTTTTATGGAGTTAATATTCTCTCCTCTCTGGATATAAATATCTAAAACTGCATGCTTAATTTCTATCTTAAATCCAGGTTGTGAACCTGTGCCCATACGCATTTGTATGGTCGATAACATTAGAAGGAATTCCAGTTGTTTATAGATAGATTAGATTAGATAGCCAGACAGACAGACAGATACCTGCTTAAGTGAACTCCCATAAGGAAAGTTAAGCTGTGTGTGACATTAATTTGTGTTATTAAGCAAAATGAGGCTGTTTGCATGGGGAGAAATTATATTGGGAGGAGATACAAAAATTGCATTTTGAATGGGAAGAGGGATACAAGCTGAAAAAAAGAAAACTATCGGAATGGAATTAAAATTGGGAAAGTATTGAAAAAGGAAAGTTTAATTGATATTTAAACCCTAAAGAAAGGGATTCTACTTTTTATTCGAACAAATATGCAACCTATTCAGGGATAGATCATATAGTTATATCTACTGTTAGATAAAATTGACTTTGCACCGATAATAACCTCAGACCATGCATCACTAAAAGTTTCATGGAGTAAGAACACTTTAAAAAATAAAGCCAGAATTTGGAGATTAGGTACTAATATATGTGAAAATTCACGAATTATTGAATTTTTTAAAAAAAGATATTAAACATGGAGAGATCTAGATTAAAAAGAGAAAGACAGAAATTACAAACAAATAAGAAAATTACAAGAAGAACATAAGAAATCAAGAACTAATAAAATGTGGTATTGAGAGAAATGACAAAAGCTAGAGCAGAATTAAAAGCTTTGGACATAGATAAAACTTAAATTGCAATGAACTGTTTGGGGAGGAATTATTATGAATATTGAAATAAAAACTCCAAATTATTATCTAATGCTATAAAAGGAAAGCTATTAAAACAATTGTCAAAATAAGAACTTAAGATGATAAAATAGTAAAATCACAACAGCAAATTCTGACATATTTTAGGGAATATTATAGAGAACTACCGTGTTAAGTCAGGGTCTTACATTAATTTGCTCCAAAAACTCATTAGGGCTTATTTTCAGGGGATGTTTTATTTTACAGTCATGTTATCTTCTGGTTGCTGCACAATGGTGGAAGGGGAAGGGGTTTACTTAACTGGAGCTTATTTCTGGAGTAGGGCTTATATTACAAGCATCCTGAAACATCATACTAGGGCTTATTTTCAGGTTAGGTCTTATTTTCAGGGAAACGGGGTATATGAGACAAATAAGACCAGAGCCTGATGTTCAAGAATCTGTGAGTTTTTTACCGAGTAACCCATTTAGTGAAGAACTAAAAAACCAACTTACCGGTAATTCACCAATAATGCCTAAAGAGATAAAAATAACTACAGTGGTGCCCCGCATAATGGGCGTCCTGTTTAATGACAAATCCGCATAGCAATGGTTTTTTTTTTCCCAATCGTTTTTGCGATCGCATTGCAATGTTTTAAATGGTAAAACATCGCTTTGTGATGACCGGTAAGCTGTTTTGCTTACCAATTTTCGCCTAGCGATGTTTTAATAACAGCTGATCGGCGGTTCCAAAATGGACGCCGGGTAAAAAAATGGCCACCCACAGTGTTTTTGCACCCATTCCTCGCTTACCGGGCAGTGAAAATGGCGGCCGTTTGGAGGATTTTCGCATAACAGTGAGTTTTTTGCCCATAGCAACGCATTTAACGTGTTTTAATGCATTCCTATGGGCTTTTGGTTCCGCATAGCGACGAATCCGTATAGCGACGATTTTTCCAGAACGGATTATCGTCGCTATGCAGGGCACCACTGTATTAAAAATGTAAGAAGGGGAAGTCATCAGGACGTGATGGCTTCACAGTAGACTTTTTATAAAATATGGGAGGATAAACTATCTGAAGATCTATTGTAAGTGTCTAACTCAATAATGAATGTGGGGAAAGTTCCAGATTCCTGCAAGGGAGTGAGAATAATAGCTATCCCAAAACAAGATAAAGATGCTACGCATCCATCTGCGTACAGGCCAATAACTTTACAAAATTAAAATAAAAAAATACTCTCATCTATTATGGCACAAAGAGTAAATAACTTCATTATGTATTACATTCATGGAGACCAATGGGAGACAAATGTCAGACGTGGCTCTAAGATACTAAATATTATACACCTTGTATCAGAAAAAACCAGAAGGTTGCAATACTTTCATTAGACGCCCTCAAAGCTTTTGACCGTGTAGAATGACAATATATGTTCAATTTATTAGAGAAAATGAGTATGGATCAAACATGTATTAGCATTCTAAAGAAGCTATATGAAGGGTCAAGGGCTTCAATATTAATAAATGGAATTGAATCTGCAAAATTGGAATTATGCAGAGGAGCAAGACAAGGAGACCCCCGTCTGCATTAATATTTGCATTGGCTATAGAGTCACTCATGGCACTTATTAGAAAAAAATGTTAACATTAGAGGAATAATGGTTAGAAATAAACAACAGGGAGCTGGACGGGGGACAGATTGTATTTGTCTTCAGTGTGGAAGGGATTGTCACTCTCGAATTGGCCTTCTCAGCCACATTAGAGGCTGTTCCAAGTCCTCCATACAGAGCACGTTACCATAGTCTCTCGAGACTGAAGGATGGCTAACTAAAAAACAACATAAAATTAATTTATATGCTGACAATATACTTTTATTCCTAGAATCCCTGATGGAAAGTATGGAGATATTGAAACAAATATTGGAAAAATTCAAATATTGTACAGAATTAAAAATAAATTAAGATAAATCTAAATTACTATGTGTAAATACTCCCACCCTAGAACAAAAAGAAATCAAGAAAAGAACAGGTTTAGACCTATGTTATTCAAACTTATACAGGACAGTGAGACTCCTGAATGGACTAGAATGGAGAGAGAAGAACAGGAAAGGTCATTGGATGTACATTTATATAAAGAAAGAATTTTGACAAATGAGAAGCAAATACGGAACCCTTTTACTAAAGAATGACTCTGGATATGGATGAAACATATGAAAATTTTTGCTCCTCCATATCTCCATTATGTCCTATATTAGAACACCCTACATTTAAATTTCAAGATAAATATGCACAATTTAAACAATGGAAAGAGGAATGTACAGAATAAGAGACTTGGTTATACATGGAAAACTTATTACAATCGGACAGCTCCAGGAGAAAACTAGACATATAGCAACTAATTGGTACCAGATAACGCAAATTAGAAATTTGACAACTCAGTTATATAAAATACTGGGTTCAAACAGACCACTAACAGAAATAGAGAAATATTGTATAGAGATAGAGAATAAAATGAAAACAGGGTTAAATTCAGCAATTTATTAAAGCATTATAGACAAACAAGTTGGAGACAACATGGAATCCAAGATAGTTTGGGAGACAGATTTAAAAACTGGGATATCAGAAAACACATGGAAAAGAATATGGACCTCTCCACCTTATAAATCAGTATCATTTCAAGCTAAAGAAACAGTGTTAAAAGTAGTGCACAGATGGTACTTATACCCTGTAAAATTACACAGAATAAATAAAGGAATATCAAACACATGTTGGAGGAATTGTAGGAATAAAGGAACTCTGGAACATATGTGATTAATATGTCCAAGAGTGGAAATTTTCTGGTCTGAAGTAATAAGTGGTTGGAAAGTATAACAAAAGAAAAAAATAATTTTAAATGAAACTTTGCTACTTTTTTCATTATTTACAGGAGAGAACGAAAAAATGTGGATAATTTTTTATTTATTATTTATTTTATTTGTTACATTTATAGCCCGCCCATCTAGTCATACCGACTACTCTGGGTTGGTAACAACAGATCAAATCTAATAAAATGTAAAATCATAACAACATTTCACTAAAAAATAAAAAAGAAACCACAGTAATCCAGATGGGAAAAAGGCACAGAGAACAAAATCAGGCGGTGGATGGAGGAAAGGCTTGGAAAAAACTAATTGCAATTATATTAGGAGGAGCCCATAACGAAATTGCTCATCAGTGGAAGGATGCTCAGGACTTATCCATGCAAAGATTTCAAAATAGAATATGGAGAATAGCTCTAATGGAAAAACTGACCTACCACATTAAACTCTAGAGGGTAAAATATAATTATGGAAGTATGGTATCCCTTGTTGGCCTCTGGTGCAAGAGATCAAATGGAAAATGGGCTGAAATGCTGGCTGGATTGAACAACTGCAGGATTAGAAGTAAAATATATATAAATGTTGAAACAATAGTATACTATGGATAAGAAAATTATTGGAAGTGTAACTGCATTTATAGGTAATTATTATTTTTCTTTTTTGTTATGTCATCAGAGGATTGTAACTTATTTCATAAATCAGAAAATAAAATTTTAAAAAAAATATTTGTGTTCTTTTTCTTCCAGGAAAGCAATAAAAGCAGTTTTACATCAGAAGAGGAGAAAAAAGAGAATGAAATGCCTGCGCTGTCTCCCCAGACAACTGGCGAAGCAAGAAATATTAAGGATGGTTCTTTAGAGCCTTCTGTGTCACGCATCAGTATATTTACTACAACTGAGTCCAGTCCAAACCTGTCACATTTTTCCAGCTGTCAGGCAGATGAACTTTCTAGTGTTCCACACAGAGAAACTTATGTGACTCCGTGCCATTTCTCAAAAGGAGGTGCAGCTGATTGTGACTTCAAAAATGGTGATGTTACAGACCACATGTACTTAACAAAAAATGGAAATTTTAGTACTCAAGAATCTGATAGCCTTCAGGGCAGCAGTATTACAACCTCTGCCCAGGCAAAAATAGGGAGCACTTCAGTAGAAAATAAAAGCCGAGCACTAAATCTGACCACCGAAGAGATTCCAAAAAGAAAATCTCAAGAATCACCATCTGAAGAAGCAGTAGAGGCATATATAAATGAGAAAAGGAGAAGAACTTCCTCACAAAGTGAAGATGACATGAGCGACATAGATGTACAACAGCAGATAAGTTTGGAACAGCAGCTTTATGAAAGGTATAAACAAGAAGAGGAGGATAGACGTCTGGCTCTGAAGCTTCAGAAGGAACTAGATAAAGAGCAGAAAACACTAAATCGAAAAAAAGGCTCCCCAGATGAGTACCTTTTGCGTCCTACAACATCTCAGTCAGCAAAAGAATCTCCATCAGTTAAGAAGCTTTGCAGGTGCTCAAAGAATTCAAAATCTACAAACAGACAATCTGAAATAGATAAAAAATTGCACAGAGGGTTGTACAATGAGAATTTGAAGTCCTCTAACAAAGTCCGGAAAAAGTCCTCTATAAAAGGGGGTAATGTTTTGAATGGTGTTCTTAATAGGCCAGACTCAAAAGATGCAGAATTACTTCCATCCAAACAAAAAACAATTCTTCAGATGTTCGAAAGGCCTGCTACAAACTAGAGCATGAATGTTGCCTGTGAAAACATTATGGTATTGATAGGGGAGTTAAAGCGTCGACATGCTTGAACCAGTAGTGCCTCCTGTATGCCCATTAATTTCTATTTCTTCTGTCTTAGTTTTATGACCCATTCATGTTGTCCAATTATTCTGAGTTTTAAGAGAGAGATTTATTGTAAACCATAAAGTTATTAAAGCAGCATCATAGCGACACCCAATATCCCGCCCCCAACATATGTAAAAATCTGACAGTTGGTTTTGGTATACTTTGCTTAATAACTGCAGTTGCTCCCCATATTCACATAGGTTTTACATATTAAATATTCCAAATGTCATTCGACTGTTTGCAGTAGGCTATTAAGATACCTTAAATTCCAAATGAATATAGTTTTGTTTTCTTAGAATTCTAAATCTTCATTTGTTTAGAAGATAAAATGACTGTCAACACTCGCAAGAACGTATTTATTTTGAATAAACTTCAACAACTGTATGAAAAATATACTTGATAAGATTTAACATATAAAGCAGCATTTGTGAGAACACAAGGCTTATATACATGTTCATTTATGTTTTCATAGTAAGTACCATATTTTACTGTGTATACAACCCTCCAATGTATAAAACACCCTCCTAATGTTGACCCTTGATGGAGGTGGAGGAGCAGTCAATGGGCAACTGCTCCTCCACTTCTATTTCCTGCTGCTGCTGTCTCCGCTGCCTGCCCGATTACCTCCTCCAATGCAACTGCCGGGGCTCACCTCCAGCTCACGTCGCTGCCTTGTCCCCTGCCATAAAGAGATTGTGGGAGGAGGTGATCTGGCGGCAGCAGCAGGACCAGTGTCAGTGCCCCGAGAGCGCATGACTGCTTGTTTGCTTCCGCCTCTGCCTCCACCCTCGGAGGGGACAAGGCAGTGACGAGAGCTGAGCCCGCTTCCGCCTCTGCCTCCACCATCGGAGGGGACAAGGCAGCGACGAGAGCTGAGCCCGTCAGTCCCATGGGCGTGCGGGGAAGGCAGCAGCAAGAGGTGCCCAAGCGCGCGTGACTGCTCCTTTGCCTTTGCCTGCTGCTGCCGCCTCAGGGCCACCAGAGGGGACAAGCCGTGAGCTGTGGAAGAGGCAATTGGGCAGCGGCAATGGCAGCGCCTCCACCATCGGAGGGGACAAGGCAGCGACGAGAGCTGAGCCCGTCAGTCCCATGGGCGTGCGGGGAAGGCAGCAGCAAGAGGTGCCCAAGCGCGCGTGACTGCTCCTTTGCCTTTGCCTGCTGCTGCCGCCTCAGGGCCACCAGAGGGGACAAGCCGTGAGCTGTGGAAGAGGCAATTGGGCAGCGGCAATGGCAGCAAGAGGTGCCCGAGCACGCACATGACTGCTTCCTTCTATGTATAAAACGACACTCTATTTTTCCTCTAATTATTTTTGGAAAAAGTGTTTTATACATGGAAAAATACGATAATTTATCATAATACATATGGGGGGAAAATGCTGTTTAAAAATCCCTGTGCTTTGTCAATTTGACTAGCTATTGTTGCAAATTTTCCCAACCATAATAGAAAACCCTCCCCCTTATTTTTTTACTTTATTGTAGACTGCAAACTTTGTTGCAGTCTAGTCAATGAGTGTTTATGGTCAGTATGCAGGAAAGTAAATAAGAGACTCCGCAAGTCAGTAATAGAAAAAATGGGAGTACATGTAAATAATACAGCAATCCTGTATCTAGGGATGTTTGGATGTTACAGGAACTCAACCACAATAGCTGTCACGTTGTATTTTGGTGTGTGTGTGTGAACGAGTATTTTGTATATTGCATTTATTTAGCTTAACTTAAATGATATAATGTATCAAGTCCATTCTGATTTATGGTAACCCTTTTCTGGATTTTCTAGATAGAAAATACTTAAAAGTGGTTTTCCTTTTTATACTGAGATTTTGAGCTTGCCCGAGACCACACAGGCTAAACTCCCAACCTCTGACTGCAGCCAAATGCGTAACTCACTGCGCTATTAGCAAGCAGTTTAGCTGATACAGTTGATAAATAACATTACTGTAATCTCTTGATCATTTAAAAAAAAAACTTCCCACTTTGAAGAGATTCTCATGATACTTTGCCAGCCTGCCATTTATATGTGGATGTTGTCCTGTATCTTTTTGAATTAGCATTCTGCAATTGGGACCTGCAAAATGTTACAGTATCTGAAGTGCTTCATGTTCTGTCCCAGTCAGTTAGCTATTCCCTCTTCCAGGATGCTCTGTTGGGATTCCCTATACTATGTTTTGCATTTTCATCATGCTCAGTCCTCATTCAGCTGTTACAGTGGACCTCTACTTACGGAATTAATCCGTATTGGAATGGTGTCTGCAAGTCGAAAAGTCTGTAGGTCGAATCTCCATTGACCTACAATGCATTGAAAACCGATTAATCCCATAACCGGTGTTTTTTATTCTATTTTTGTTCCATTTTGGGTTTTTTCTGGTCTGTAAGTCGATTCTCCGGCTGCAAGTCGAATCTAAACTTTGCAGCCAGAGAAGTCTGTAACTCGAAAAGACTGTAAGTCGAGCCGTCTGTAAGTCGAGGGTCCACTGTATATAGCATAGGTTATTACTGCAAAAGAGAGACTTAGTGGGACAATCTACCACATATTAGGTCTTCTGCCCCCCCCCTTTCCCCAGGAATATTGTCTTTTCTGGTTGGTTTTGTATTGTCATTAGAGATGGGGGTATTTGAATATGAATATCCCCCACAGGTGCAGATAACGAGGGTCCAGCCCCCTTAGGACCATCCACTCGCAATTCTGCTACAGCTGCGAGTTCCGCACAACGTTCCTGTCACTCCGGAGCTCACAATGGATTAGCCACCCTTGGCAGAAGGTGGGATGACGAGCATGTCTGCCAGGTTGAAGAGTGGCTTGCTGATTGCGAGCTCAGGAGTGATATGAATGGCGTGCAGAGCTTGTGGCAGCGCCAGAATTGTGAGTGGATGGTCTGGCCCCAGGGGGATGGATCCTTGGATAATCAAATGCAAATGCCTCCATCTCTAATTGTCATATGTGAATGGTAGGATAAGCTCTTTGGCTCTAATGGGAGTTCAAGCTTGATTTCATTAAGCACCCACATGCCAGCTTTTCTTGCTTCTTTGCTCTCGCAGCAACCATAATACAGATCATGTGCTCACCTTCTAGGATCCTCTAGCACTGGGTAACACTACACGATGGAAATTTCTGTTGGAAATTGTGTGCAATGTATGTGTACTTCAACATTCATTTTTAAAAGTCAATAATTTCATATCTTCAAAACTCATTTGTGAATGTGGGTTTTTGTGCTTTTATATCCACAATTCAAATGCGAAGAAATGGCCCAGTGTTGCTGCACAATATAATGCTCACATTGCCAGCAGGAAAAAAGACAACAAAGTTTTACATAGGAAAGGGCATCCTGAATGTTGACGATACCAATGGCAGCAATCAAGATGGTCTACTGCAAGGGTCTCAAATATGCAGCCTGGGGGCCATTTGCGGACTGCTGGATGAGTTTGTGGCTCCTGCCTAGCCAAAGCAGGGGTTTTAAACTCAATTTACTTGGGGGCCTCTAGAGGCAGAGTGTGGGTGAGGCTGGACCTCATCAGATTTTCTGCCAAGCAGAGCAAGAGCCTGAGGAAGCCGCCCAGGAGTTTCCTTAGCTGACAGACAGGTGGGCTGACTGGCAGGCTGCAGTTCTGGATGGAGGGTGCAAGAGGCGCTGTCTTGGGGAGAGCCAGTGAGCAAGGCCCGCTGCCGGCCCTTTTCCCTGAGTGCCTGAGCTGCCGCTGACCGATGCCTGAGAGCAGAACTAGCTCCCAGCCTGTCCTCGAGTGCCTCCAAGCCACCAACAGCAGCTGCCACCACCTCTTCCAGGGAAGTGGCTCTCTCTCTCTTGGCACCCCCAGCACCAGCCCAGCCAGCAGCCGCCTCAGCACCTGGCGGTGTTTCTCCTCTTCCTCCTGCTTCAGCCGCCTTAGCTCTGGAGGCTGCCTGGGCTCGCCTTGCAAAGTTTGCTCTTCTGTCATGGTGGGGGTAGCTGCTGCTGCTGAGTGCACCTTTCTTGAGGGGGGGCCTCGGAGGAAGGTTGCCGGACCCCCCCCCTGTGTGTACATGTGCGCACACCGGGGGGGCACCTCATTCTGTTTAATTTCATGGGTACCGGTGGGGACTTCTCTCCTTTGGCAAGGCAAATTCTGTGAGGGCTTTTAAAAAATTTTATGTCATGCCCTCTTTCCCGCCCCCCCCCGGGCTAGGCGGTCACTGGCACTCCCTCCTCTGCTTCTGGTGGTGGTGGTAGTGAAGAAGGAGCCGGAGGGGGTCGTGGCCAGCATCAAGGGCTTGCACACACTTCCTCCTTGGATCCCCAGCCGAGCTAAGGAAACTCCTAGGCGGCTTCCTCAGGCTCTTGCTCCGCTTGGTGGAAAATCTGATGTGGCCCAGCCTCACCCAGACTCTGCCTCCAGCAGCCCCCAGGTAAATTGAGTTTGAGACCCTTGGCCTACAAGATACCCTCTTCTCACTACTAGTCACACTTGTTGAAAAACAGAACTGACAATTGCTTTGTGTTTCGGTGAGAAGTGGTTAACTGATGAAAAAAGGAGTTGGCTTCAGGAATTTTCCCTTAGTATCACTTTGTGAATGATAACCAGAGGTTTTTTTAAAATTGAGTATCTTTATTTTTTATTTATTTTATTGAATTTCTACCCTGCCCATCTAGACTAAAGGTCTGTTCTGGGTGGCATTACAAGTTTCAAAACAGTTAAAACCAATAAACATACACTATAAATCCAAGATGGTAAGATGTGAATACAGCATAAGGTGCAGCAGGAGGGAAAGCCTGCTCAAATAGCCAGGTCTTGAGTTTGCTTCTGAAGACACCCAGAGGGAGCCAGGCGGATCTCCACGGGCAAGTTGTTCCAGAGGTGAAGGGCCACTGCCTTTAGGCAATCTGCATTGGCCTAATGCAGCCATTACTGTATATCTAAATAAACAGAAGCAATTACATTTTTTAAACAGGAAAATGTTTCTAGCACTTAAGACTGGCAAATTCTATTTTACAGAAGCTTTCAAAGAAAAGTTCATTTCATCACTGAGTGAAATGTTGTATGCAAACCTAGCTAGCCAAGATAACTGAGAACTAGCGTAGCTGACATTAAGGCAGCAGAGGCTGTTTTGAATCCAAACCCCTGCAAATTTAAGAGATGCTAGAAATTACTGAAGACTACCCTGACCCTGACTTACCTTGGTGCAGGAATAGTGGTTCTGAGGGCTTCAAATGTAGCAAAATTCAGTTCTTCTAAATCCTTTTTTACTTTTCTGACAGCTGATCACAGCCAGCACAGCAACTGTGTGTGCATACAGTATCTTAGATCAGTGGTCCCCAACCATTTTGGGGGGTGCGCTGACACATGCCTGGATGGGTGTGGCACACTCATGGGTGTGGCGCACTCGGTGTGGCATGCATGCACACATGCACTCAGCACCCATCTGTGAACGCACCTCGCCAATCCACAAATGCATCCGCACCACGCCCACTGTGTGGGAGGGCAGGAAATCTGTCTCCGTGGCCTGGTGCTGTGAAGCCCATGGACTGGGGGTTGGGGACTCCTGTCTTAGATTGATAGGCACAAGGACAATAACTCCGGTGCAAAAGGCTTCAACCAATTTCAAATCCACTACAGCTACATATTTTTGAGTCTGAATTGCACTGTCAGTTGATGATTATCTGTTTGAGCTTAGAATTCTAATCAGGAAGGGTATAAAGGACTGAAACACAGAAAGTACAGTGTTCATCTCCTTTGTAATTAGTTTTGCTGTCCCTCCCGCCAACCGCCGAGAAAGAGAGCCAGAACCCGCCAGTTCCCCCACCCCAGAAGACATGACCTGGGGAATATAGAGGGAGATTTGAAAAGATCACTGAACCCAGGACTACCTTGGTAGGCAACCAGGGGGGTGGGGGTGGGAAGCGTGGGAAGTAGTAGAGGCAGGATATAAGAAGGGGGAAGGGGAGTTGCCAGTAGGCTGGGAGTGGATCTGGATGGGGAAGACTGAAAAACTACAAGTCCCCAAGGAAGAGGCAGATGCCAGGAGGAAGCAAGAACTCAACTCCAAACTTTCCTACTGGGGTGAGCGAGAAACTAAAGAGTGGCGGAGGAAATTAAGAGAGGAAAGAGAATGAAGGGAGAGATTAGAATGGAAGATATGGGAGAATCAACAGAGGGAATTTCTGGAACCCCGTGACAGATGGGGGAACTCCCCCCCAAGTGCGACCATCCCCTTGTTGGAAGGAGAGGAGGGACTATTACTAAACCCTGACACCCCACCTGAATGGCCGGGACCCTGGAATAACCAGGGTGGTAACCCTTTCAAAATAGAAGATTGGAACCCCCTATCAGACCTGTTGTCAAAAGAGAAGGTTTGGAATGCATTTGTTGATACTGGACTTTTGTTAAACACCCCAGTAAATGTCACTCCTATTACTAAGCTGAGGAGAGTTGGTGCTTTATTTAAAAAAGAAAAGGAGCTGGCTACTGAACCCTCAAACTAATAAAGTTTTTTAAAAAAAATTGTATTTATCCTTACATATTGAATTGTTACACTCTGTAATGAGCAGTGCCTGTGGAGATTTCTTAATAGCCATTTGTGTCTGAAAGCTACACTAGTTGCACAACAGGATTTCAACCAATGTGATTTTTGCTTCATTCCTTTATTTATTTATTTAGAGTTTTAGAGGTTATTTTAGAAATCTACACAAATCATACTTAAGATCTTAATCCTATTAGTGGAAAACTGTTGTGTGGTAATCATGGCCACAGAGTTCTACATACTGTATACTGGTAGTGTTCATTTATATGCAGATAAAGATGGCAGCATGAAACCAAAGGTTAATTATCCATTTTCCCTGTGGTCTGTTTACAAAACCTTCAAGCGGAGTGCAGCACATATAGCTTTGTCTGTAGTAAGGCTATATCACATGCTGAAATACTAATGTTTAAAGGCAGCACAATCTGTTAGTGGTGTTCATGACACTCAAAGCATCCATGTACCAAAAGAAGCAATTGCATTTCAATAGTACTATGGCTATACTGATGAAAATGGTTAATTCCTCTTTAGGTAGCCTCTGACATTGACCAAAGTGTTTTTAATTTTTCATGAAGGTTCAGTGACTGAAGAAAGATTATACAGGCACTTAGAAGAAATTATAAAAGTAATCTGATGTGACAGAAGTGTTATTAGACTTGGATTTCTATTAAGTCTAGTAAGCTCAAATGCTCATAAGAGTTCTCATTTACAGTCAAATCCTCCTGTCTAGTACAACATGACCATAACATGCACCATTCTGGTTACTATGATAGTTCAGATTGCTCAGTACTGATTGACTGATGGGTTTAATGTATGAAATAATTATTTGTAGCATCTAGTAAATGCTAATACAGTATTTTTTAGTGTCCCTAGCTACTATAGTTAAGATCTTTGTACTCCTCTTTAACAGTGGAAGTTCAAACATTTGGGGAAAAAACAAAACAGTATTCTGCAACAAGCTACTCCTAAAGAAGAGTTTGGAATTATTACTTGAAATGCATTATGTATAACTAGAAACATAAAACATAAATAAGTTGCTATCAACGTCAATTTTGAAAAGACCACACACTAAAAATTCTTCCCAGATCCCCTCATGTAAAGTTTCAGCAATAATGAATACAGTATATTTTGGGTTATTTTTTTTAATAAAGCGATTTCATACCCCTTCCATTTGCATCATCATCTCTCTTATTTTTAAATAGCATATTCATTGAAACCTGTAGGCTGTCTTCCGTGACAGCGAGCGCCTTCAAACAGGCATGAGCGGCGAATAGCGAGATGGCAATTGCCTTCCCTTGCGAAAAGGCACGGGCTTTCAATAATAAATACTGTAAGTAATCGGCATCATACCAAGAAGGTCTGGAAAACGGGAAGTTCCCGATCATGGAAAAAGTCAGGCAACATGACTACTGTACTCCATTCTGGAAGCTTTCCTGGACTCGGCTGCCGCGTCTATTTCAACCCTATCTCAGCATGTCCAGCGACCTCGTCCCGTTGCTTTCATCAGCAATGCAGGAGAAATTATTTTTTTTCTTTTAAGGACTTCTAGGAGTTTGCGGAAAGGGCGGTTCTGTCTTTTTTTAGAACCCGAGATGGATCTCATCAGTGCAACGAAGCCGTGGTTCCAAGATAACACCTTGGTGTCTTGATGCCGGCGTCGGTAGGTACCGAGCACATTTCCTCCCCCCTCCCTTCCTACGTCCCCGTAACATAAGAAGAGGCAGGACTCCTTCGGTGGGACGGAACACGCCGAGCCACTTCCTTCACGATTCGCTTGCGTTAGCTGTTTCGTCCGTCTCAAGTTTAGAGGACGGAACTCGCCGACCGCTAGAGGGCATCCTAACCCGGAACCCTGGTCGTATCCAAACAGGAAGGATAACGCGCACGCCTCTTCCTCTTCCGGGCTGTCCCTTTCAGGACCTGCTGTCAATAAAGTTTGATGTTGAAAACGAGCGGGGCGAGTTGAGGTGCGGTAGTTCTGCGCCTGCGCACTGGGGCAGCAGGTGTCGGCTGTTGTTGTTCGGTGGTAGTGGCGGCAAGATGGCGGCGCCCGGAGGCTCCGCTGCCGCCTCAGCGCTGAAGGGGTTAATTCAGCAATTCACCGCCATCACGGGTGAGGCGCGCGAAGACACGGAAATAATGTCGGGAGGCTTGAGGCCCTTTCCATCACCGGGATGGGGAGGAAGGGTGTGTGTGTAGACAGGACGGAGAACAGAAGGAGAGCGGGAGAAGGAGGCAGTGCCTGTGAGGGAGTTGGCGGGAGGCAGAAGGGAGAGCTCACGCAGACCCGCCGTGGGTCGGTGGGTGGGAGAGGCTTGTGCTGAAAATGGGATGTTGTGGAGGAACCGGAGAGGGGAGGGGAATGGAGTACGCGAGGCGATCATCACTAGATAGCTGGGGAAGAGGAGGGTGATGTGTCGGAAGAATTCTTTTGTTGCGAAAGGGAGGATGATGGTGGTAACGTGGGCACCCTTATACTTTGCCCGGAGACAGCGCGAAGGAGAGCGCTTAGAGCACCGCGGCATGACAGGCTCCAGGAGGGGGGTTCATTTCGAGACTTGATTGCTGCCTGTGGGACAAGGATGTGTAAGGAAGGCATCGGTCACCGGAAACCTCAAACCGTCTTATCGCATAACTTAGTGTTAAAGGAAAGCCGTCTTACTCCTTCTGTCGCTTTCTGTAAGACAAACTGAGTGCAGAGTTGAGTTAGTTACAGCTGACTAAACTATTGAGCAGAACGTCGTTTTTAAGGGGGGGGGCTGATCACTGCATAAAGATGGGATCCCGCTTGCTGTGGATTGGACTCCAGTCATTCTCAACACAGGAGGCCTATGTGGCCCCGGGCACATTTGAAGGGGGGGGGGCACAGATTGGAAACCATCCTTCACACACCACCTTAGAAGGTTATGTGATTTATGCAATCCTGACTTGGGCTGTGTATTTGTGCTTATGGCTGTAGCCAAAAAAAGGTTAAGACTGTACAATTGTCATTAGTAGGTTTTCCTAAATTATTCACTCTTAGCAGAGTTTTACAAGACAATGTTCTTACTCTGGATGCATAAAACAGAAGACTTGCTAAAGTGGAGTAGCAATTAGGAATCTGTGATGGTGTTGCTGGTTAATGGCAAAGTCTGTTTAATCCATCATTTTGTTTCTTAGAGTAACCCTAACCAGCCCTCTGCCAAAATCATTAATCTGTTTTGAAGCATAGGTAGTATTAATCAACCCTAGTTTATTGTGGTGTATGATCCTTGTGTACTTTGGATATGAAGGGTTTTTTTAGTGATAATGACTAGTTTTTAATGTACAGATTTATAGGGAATGTATCTAATCTTGCTTTTTAAAGAAAGAGTTAATTAAGGCCTGTTTTTTATAACAGTGCTGTAGGATAGCTCTCAGATATTTTGCCTGCATGAATCCATTTTGGACCATTAATGTCTAGATGTTCCAGACATGTAGATTTCAGAAAAAAGAATAATATTGGAGCACATTCCCAAAAGCAATGTGGGTTCAGTTCTGATATCTCCATGTAGGGCTGGGAAAGGCACTGTGTAAAACCCTGAAGAGCTGCTACCTGTCAGTTTTGACAGTGCTAAGAAAGATAAAACAAAGGTCCAACTTGGTCTCAAGTCTCTCTTCATTTGTGGCTTTGGTTGCTAGAGTGTGAGGTAACTATATAAACTATGCAGCCTACATTAAGGAAAAAAACTAGTGTTACAGGAGTAATGGATACCTAGATATATGTAAAATCTTAATGGCTGTCTTATAATGTGAAGACGTGCTTCTTTTAGACAGTCCTGAACCTGGTGAACGTTTTGTGATCTTGCATACTAACTTTTTGAAGAACAGAATTGTTGTATTTTCCCCCTACCATTCATAGTTGTTAGATTTCTGTTAGATCAACTACTTAGCTCTCTGTCAACCTATCAAAATTAGAAAATCCTATATTTTTTTCTGGCCTTAATTAGTGAGGTTCTTAATTGACTTTCAAAAGAGCAACAATAGATTAACACATTTTAAGCCACCTTAAATTTAAAGAATTTTAAAATAGCTGTTTTAAAATAAACTATAATGAAAAACACTACATCAGATATGTAGCAGCAAATGCAGTAGAAACATTTTAGTTAAAAACCAGAGAAAGAGTATGTGGTTTTAACTGAGAGAGGGAGCCAGATATATCTGTGTTCTGTAGAGCAGGGGTCCCCAACCCCTGGTCTGCGGCCTGGTGCCGGTCCCTGAGCTGCCTTGGACTGGGCCGCGGACAGGGATCACCGCCCCCCACGCCCGCCCACACGGGTGTGTGTGTCGCGCTTGCTGGTGGGTATTTCGAGCTTGTGCGCATGTGCGTGAGTGTGACATGCCTCCTCATGCTCATGCGTGACACACCCACCTCTTGGGTGAGCCCAGCCTTGAGCAGAGGGGAGGCGGCTTCACCATGGCGGCCTGCTCAACCCTGGAGGACCTCTAGCTGACGGGCAGAGCGCCTGAGACAGGCCTTTCCGGACGAGGGCTTCCGTGCCTTCTTGGCTGAGTATGCCACCGAGGTGGCTGCCCTGGAGCACCAGCGGGTGTTGCAGACCAGCCAGGCCAGCCTCTGCCGCCTGCTACCTCAATTTCTGCACCCCCTTCCCCCTTGATCAAAGAGATATGGCGGTGGCAGTCACGAGCCTAGACTCCTCGCCTTCCCTGCAACCAGCGGTGGCTCAGCTCCTTGTGGCTGCCTGGCGGCAGCCGCTGCTCCCTTCTATACTGCTTGGCCCCCAGCCATGAGGAGTTGAGCCGCCGCTGGTTGCAGGGAAGGCAGGGAGTCCAGGCTCATGACCGCCGCCACCAGATCTCTGTGATCACGATGGAAGGGGCAGCTGGTGGTCAACCTACTGGTCCTGGTGAAGCCCAGGCCGGTAGCCTTCTCCAGCGGCCAGGAGCAGGCTGGAGCCAGAGCGGAGGGCGATGACCTCGGGGGGGGAAGAGTCTGACTGGGCGAACTACAGTTCCCACGGACCACAGCGAGGCACACAGACTCCATCTCCCAGCAGGACCACCGGCGTGCCCTCCCTTGTTGCTGGGCAATGCGGAGTACTCAGGGGCCAGCTTTTCCCCTGAGGGAGTGGGCGAGTCACTTCTGGGCGGGAAGGAAGCCCCCAGGGAGGGGAGACAGCGCGGGGACACTCGGCAGGCTCCTTCCTGGCTCTCCTCGCCATGCAGTCCCCAAAGAGCACGGCCTGGGGTGGCCCCAGCGAGGTGAGGCTGGAGCTGGCGTGCTCCTGGGCCACCTCGCCTTCCATCACCTTTTCACTACAACAAGCGGGCCCGCGGGAACCGGACGAGGAAGGCCTGGTCAAGCTCAGCTTCAGCCCAGACGAAGAGTTTGAGCAGGAGGAAGAGGAGTCCTCCAAGCCCATGGAGGTCGGTGCCTGAGCCCCTGCCCGCTTCCCCATTTCCCCCCCACCCACACACACACGCTTTGCCTCTCTTGCCCACCCCATTGTCGCTCCCGCGGAGCCCTGCATTCAAGGCAGAGAATGGGGAAGGGTTTCCCATCACTCTGCTATAGACGCCCCTACACGAAGGAATACAGCAGCCAGGCCGAGTCGGGGTCACACTGCTCCATCCCTACAGGGACTAATAATCCCCCCCTCCCATTTGTGCATGCACCTGTGTAAGGGGAACTACAGGCGCCATGGTGAAGCCGCCTCCCCTCCACTTAAGGACGGGCTCGGGCAAGAGGTGGGGGTATCATGCATGACCGCAAGGGGCGTGTCACACATGCGCACAAGTGCGACGCGCCCACCCGTGAGCACAGGGGTGCCCCCACCCCCAACGGTCCGCGCAGAGAGCCAGCACCCCTGAACCGGTCCGCGGTCCGAAAAACATTGGGGAACACTGCTGTGGAGAAAGTTCTATAGAGTAGGAATAGTCACTGAGAAGGCTCTCTTTCTTGAGCATGGCCAGAGTAGGTCTTACTTTCCAAGCGTTGTTAGACTGCATTTCTCATCCTCCCATACCATTGGCTGTTCTAACTAGGGCTGGTTGGAATTGCAGTCCAATAACATCTGGAAGAGCGCATGTTCCTTTTTTCATCTTGGTAGTGATCCCAAAGATTATCTTTAAATGATGATAGCTTCATGTGATGTAGGCAGGTCTTGAGATATTTAGACCCAAGCCATTCAGGACATTAAAAGTCAGCAACAGGATTTTGAATTTGGACTAGAAATGTACTGGTTAAGTGTAGTGCAATCTTGACTAGCCCAATTTAGGGGAAAAGGAGCCACATTCTGTACCAGCTGCAGTTCCTGAGCCATGTAAAGTCAGCCCATGCAATGGGTTCTACCGTTTTCTGAATATAACTAATGCAAATGCACCTGAAGGTAGGTCTGCTTTTCCTAGTTAGAATTGCAGCTAATTAGGGTAAGTATACCTAGTCTCAGTTATGTATGCCTTAGTTGTAGTCAGAATGCTGTAACCAAAGATTAAACTCACTTTTGCACAGAAACAGATAACCCTTGGTTTGTGAAGGGTTTTCCATTGGGAACAATATCAAAGTATGGGACAGCAAAGGGAGGCATTCTCTTGTTTGTATTTTAATGATCTATTACAGCAGATTAAGTCACCCTATTTTAATTGGTATGTGTTGTTCAGTCAATTATGCCAAAGTAGATTTCCCTGAGGAAGCCAGTGTTCCCTTGAAAATAGACGTTAGAATTCCTAAGTGGTCATAGTATATCATGACCACTTAGGAACTCTAACGTCTGTTTTCAGACATTATATATATAGGAAATACTGAGTATTTCTCTCTCTTTCTCTCTCTCTCTCTCCATATTTTTATCCCACCTTTTTTCTTTAAAAGAACCCAATACAAATGTAACGTTCTGTGCTTAGTGTTATTCATTGACTAGCTCATGTAACTAGAACTTTCTGTTTGTCCTCATCCTTAGATGTCAAGGTGGACTAATACTACTCAAATTGTGTTGAATGAAAAATCTGGAATTAATTATACTGGCTGTACTCTAATTTCTTTTTTAGAATTCAAATGTACATTTTGGACAAAAAAGCAGCATAACTGTGTAGTCTGATAATTTTGTAATTATAACTTGGTACTTTGTTACTTTTCTAGTGCTTATTTGTAAAAGTTATTGATGAAAAAAGAAATTCACAAAATGTCCCAGTACTCCACCTTCAGCTTCACAGCTCATGTACAGATGTCTTTACACTGCAATCTTTAGAACATTTTCCCCAAATTATAGCCAGTAGCTGAGTTTTTAAAAATACAACTACTGTATAAATAATAATTAATTCATTTTGTCCCTATGAACATGGTTTAATTCTTAAATCATTATGTATGATTTGGTATAGCTTTAGTACAACATAAGTGTGGAAGAGCTGGACTTTTTCAAAAAAAAGTACAATGTCTGCTATTATATTCCATCTTCTGCTGTGTACTTTTAAGTACTGTATATCCTTTCCTCTCTTTCTTGTGTGTTCCTGTGTCTGCATTGGCTCTCTACAGAGGCCCAAATATTCCTTTGCTAATACATTTGAAGAATGATGGGTTATAAAATACCACATTTTCTACTGGATCTCTCAAAGTGTGAAAGATTTGCCTAGTAGAATTGTAGCTTGTTTGCTATGGATCCCTTAGGTACACAGCTGTGAGATCATGAATTACAAGCTACCACCATAAGTAGTAATGGCCAGCATCCTGTTGGTTTTTTTCCCCACAAGGAGAAAGACTCAGCATCTTATTGAGGATGATGAAAGAGGTGCTTGTCAATTTTATGCCATGTCGTAGATAATATCAAGGAGTTGGCATTAAAGTCATTAAAGTAGGCCCATTGAATCAATGGAAATTTAGTGAATCAGCTTCTCTGTAACTTCAGTTGATTCACTTGGATCTACTCTAACTGTGACTTGCTAGAGTAGGCTCCTTTGAATCAATGGGATCTAAGGAGGAATTGACTTAAACAATCCCCATTGATTCAATGGGTCTACTCTAATGCAATTTACTGTGTTAACAGGATTTTGGCCAATGTTTTGAGGCAAAAAACAACTATATTCATATGTTCTGCATCTTAAAAATGTTTATAAAAGGTGTATAATTTAGTAATGAAAGAAAACTTGTGTCATAGGTTAGAGATCCTTCTCTGAAGAACAGTGGTTTTGTTTTCAGTGATAGGAAAGAACTGACAAGGATTAAGACAAACATATGTTGCAACTTAGAAGATATTGTCTCCCTTCTCCTCAGCCAGTCAGGAAAAGTATCTTTCGGGAAGAATTCTCAGTTGGGAGGTAGAAATCTTTGCAGTATGTGCGGTATCTCACTTCTTCCCACTGAAAAGAAAAAAAATGTGCAAATATGGTTTCTTTGATTTGATGTGCTTTCTTAATGAGAGTAATCTTTCCACATTTCAGTGTGTATTCATCTGCATAATCCAAAGTCTCAGGTATAATGTGAATATAAAATATAAAAATGTGAAGCATGTATTACAGTATATGTTTTGTATTTCTACCCCAGATATATCAGTGACATGATTAAATTGAGAAACTCTAAATTAGAGAACATTGCTGTACTCATAAACTCAGTTGGAAGCAAATCTGGTTGAGTCAATAAGACTTATTATGATGATTGAAAGAATACATTTTTAACATTAGAAAGTTACTTCTAAAAATCCATTCATTCTCATTACAGTGACAAAAATGTTATTGGAGATTTACTTACAAGCAAGATGGATTGTGGAAGTTGCTGTTGCTAATTGATCCTGCTTCCAGTTGTGCATCTGTATGTGCCCAGCACCTTAGCAGTTAACTGCAGCAAGTTCCACAAATTTTCTTGTACACATGTAAATGTCCAAAAGGATTTTTCCAGTGTTTAAAAAGTAAATCATTGTCACTACTCTTTAGTGTTGATTTTTTAAAAACTGCCATTGCTTGTTCCGCTGCTCTTTTGTTTTACTTTGCAGTTCTTTAAAAGTAACCTTAACATTTTCTAAATAATAACATAACACTTGAAATGTTAGTGTTTAAGTGCCTTGGAAATGAATACAGTGTTTTTTAGAAGTAACTTCTGAAATTAACTAGAAAATAAAGCATATTGCATCAAGAAAAATAACTTTGATGCTACTGACTACATTTTTTGGAAATTTAAAATAGTTATAGGTAACTAAGTTACTTGTAATTTATTGCTTATAAGCTTGAGTTTACCTGTTTATAGTTGGTGGAAATCAGGTGGTGCATTTACTCTTACATGTTCTGGAATATAGTATAGAGCTAGGGACCCTTTGTATCCAGGTAAAGAGGCAATATCTCAGTGAGGCACTACATTTACTTACCTATTTAGTGTTGCTTAGTGTATTAGAAAAGTCAGTTTCAGTTATTCCTGATTATTTGGTCTAACAGAAAAGAATTTGTGGAGGAAGTAAGAAGCCATGTGTAAACAAAAGAGGATTTATTTATTTATTTATTGGTTCCGTTATCACTATGAATATTTAGGTCAAAAGAAAATGGAGTTATAGTCCAGAAGCCACACATTTTAATTTAATGCAGTAGATAACTAGTATTTGTCTTAGTTATGGTACTGACCTGCCTCACTTGAGACCTTCGGCATACACAGAGGACTTGGGTCCAGAAGTTCAAGCAGTGTCAAACTTAGTAGCATACAAAAGATGCAGAAATCTTTCACGCTGCTTTGCTTTCTCCAGAGCTGAAGATAACATGAAATGCTTGCACATTCCCCATATTTGCTGTAGTTTTCAGAAAGCAGGATTTCATATTTGGAGTAGGTAGAAGCTTGGGCAGGAGAATCTCTATGCTTGTTATGCATCCTGGCAAGGTGGAGACATGACAGATTGTCAGGGTAACAGTGGCTGTGGGAACCTATTCAGAGAATTGATGGATGATGGTCATGCCTCCTTGTATCTTTGGGCATTTCATGCTGTGCGTGGGGAGAGGAAGTGTATTGGAATGCTCCTTAACGTTGGTTGGATTTGCTTATACTCTCACATTTAATTATACAGAGGAAGTAAGGGCAATCTAATGCTGTTTCAGAATTTCTTAATATGTATAGCACCTTGTTTCAATTGTTTTTTTCTTCAAAATCATAAAATGTATAGTAGAAATGTATAATATTCGTAGTTTTCAGGAAATAGAAACTTGGATTTTCTCAGTCACTTTGCATGGTCTTTGATCTGTATTCTTAAGATGTGTTTTAACTGATTTTTCTTTGTATTTTAGGTGCCAGTGAAAGTGTAGGCAAACATATGCTTGAAGCATGCAACAATAATCTGGAAATGGCTGTAACTATGTTCCTTGATGGTGGAGGCATAGCTGAGGAACCCAGCACTAGTTCTGCAAGTGTATCAAACCTTCGACCTCATACAGAGTATGTAACTTTGTGAACAACCATAAAATAAATTATTTGTTGTCAAATTTGTCAATGACAGATCTTGTTAAATATTATAGATGTGCATAGGTTCTTATGCGAAATACCTTCCATTTTGGTTGTTATAGGTTTTTCGGGCTGTTTGGCCATGTTCTGGAGTTTTTTCTTCTTAATATTCCACCTAATGTTTCTGGTGTTGTAGACACCAGAGCACAGACAAAGTTCTAACTCCTGCCCTCTGAAGATGCCAGCCACAGTGATGAAACATTAGGAAGAAAAACCTCCAGAACACAGCCAAATAGTCCGAAAAACCTACAACAAAACCATTGGACCTCGACTGTGAAGGCCTTCAAGAATACACCTCCCATTGTATTATTACTTTAGTAATTTGGTTTAACAGTTCTTTTTCTAGTAAGAGTAGGCAGGATATTACATTTGCTGCTGTTATTCTCATCTTCACTGTCCTGTTAAAGATTTGGAATCTTTATTAATATGGAAATAAATGTGTAAACATCACATCCAAGCAGTGGAAAAATATAAAGAAATAAGCGGAGCCAGATTTTTGCCAATACTGTGTATACACGCACATTTTCTTCAGTTGTATTATCACAAGTTTGTACCTTGTTCATAGCCCGCCCACCTTCTTTGTAAAAGTCTGAGCAACCGCACCTGACATATTTGTGCACCTACAAGTGTGGTAGGGCTTTTTAGGATATAGGTGGATGGTTCTTAGTTCCTATTTTTCTTTGAACAAATTATTTGTTTGCTTGGCTTTATCAAAGAAAAAGCCCAAGTAACATCAGAACATTTATTCCTACTTTGTTAAGACAAATGGTGAAGTGTTTTGCTTATTAATATTTTTAAATTGGTTATTTAGTTCCCATGTACATTTGGATGGATTGGTTTCTTCTTCACGCAGAAAAGACTAAAAAATAATTAGTATATTGTCCCTTCATTTGCTGCTAGGGCAAGTAGTTTTACTGTACGCTGTGTAGTGCCTCAAATTTCTGTTAAGGAAAGGTGGAGTATAAATAAATCTGCTTGTTTGTTTTAATATTACGAGGAGTATCAAAATGCTATTTCTAGAGCCCTGCTATGAGTAGAAGATACCAAAAGCCACATCTTGCAAAAATGTCAACATTCCAGAAATTCTTGTGTTAGTTAAATTCCTTAATGTAGTGTAGAGAATTTCTTAATATATATGCTGAAATGTATAAATACTACTAGATTTTGATTTGCTTATTTGTACATAGTTAATATAGTCTTCCCCAGTTCTCCTTCCCCAGTATTGTGTAGCTAGCCACACTAAAAGTCTGGCTTGAGGTATAAAGCCCTGCTGTCAGTCTCTGCTCTGTAGGGTTTCGTTTACCTGCTATATGCAGTGCCGTTCTGACAACATTGCTACTTCTTCTTCATGGTCTCTGTGAATGCACACTAATGGGTTAATCCGCGCTTGCATGGAGCAGCCTCGGAACTTTCTAGCTGGAGCACATAGTGCCGCAACCTCCCCCATGCCGGCTATAACTCCGCCCCCAGCTTCGAGTGCCTCAGTTCCTTTTCTACTGCTGCTGTAGCAGGTTTGTTAGGAACTTTGTGTTTGAATACTAAAACTTACCTTCCCCTTGACCTCCCTTGCTTGTTTCTAGATTGTTGACCTTTCTTCAGTGACTGTGAGTGACCTGCAATAATAAAACAAACGGATAATTGTAAATTTGCGTTAATTAGAGGTTTATGGCCTCTTCAAGAGGTGCAAGGTCTGTTCAAACAAGATTCCTCTTTCCAACGGGCATTCCCATTGTTTGTTCTGCCTGGGGGAGGAACACCAACCAGCGTTGTGTACCTTTTGTAAAAACTTTACAAAGCTGGCTTTGAAGCTGCGCTTGCAACGCCTGAAGTCTTTTCTCTGGGAAAAGTCTCTTTTGCCTTCCCAAGGGCCAGTGATGGATTCCCCCAAGGCTTCCCAGCCTTCTCCGGCAACCTCACCTGAGGCAGCGCTCCACAAAGGGGGAAAGCCGCTTCCAAAACCAAGACCGCCCTCGGGCTCAAGGGCAATGGCAGCAGCATCCACCCATTTGCAATCTTCATCTTCAGGTTCGAAGAAAAAGAGAAAGGTGGCTAAGGCTGCTAAGGCTGCTGAGAGCTTGGCACCGAGGCCAAAGGTATCCCAGCAACATACAGTATCCCTAGCTTTGCCCTTGGGAGAAGAAGAGGCCCCCCTGCAGCTCCCACTGCCATTCCCATCTGTCAGTGATAATTCCTGACTGGGGTAACACCTCTTTGAAGGTTGTTGAACTGGTGTGGAACAGCCCTCATTCATCAATGGGTTCATTTACACAGCAGCCTGCAGCTTCACCTCAGCCACCGACCCCGGCAGAGGCTCCTAAAAAAAGGACCCATAAGACCCAACACCTGGAGTTGACTGAGCTGCAGGAACCCTGTGGCCGACAGGCGGATCCGAGAGGTTTTCCTGCTCATTGAGGCTTTACACAGCAGCCTGCAGCTTCACCTCAGCTACTGACCCCGGCAGAGGCTCCTAAAAAAACGACCCATAAGACCCAACACCTGGAGCTGACTGAGTATGGAGCGGAGCTGACTGAGTCGCAGGAACCCTGTGGCTGACAGGTGGATCTGAGAGGTTTTCCTGCTCGTTGAGGCCGCTGGCATTATGTTGACTACCCGGGGTCGTATCACGCAGACGAGTTCGAACGGGATCCATCCTTTTCTCCAGCGCCCTATCATATTGACTCATATTTTTGGTATCGGTGCTGCGAGCCCTATCCGCAACCCTTTGTGACGCCACGCAGGAACCCTGTGGCTGACAGGTGGATCTGAGAGGTTTTCCTGCTCGTTGAGGCCGCTGGCATTATGTTGACTACCCGGGGTCGTATCACGCAGACGAGTTCGAACGGGATCCATCCTTTTCTCCAGCGCCCTATCATATTGACTCATATTTTTGGTATCGGTGCTGCGAGCCCTATCCGCAACCCTTTGTGACGCCACTTCGTCCATATTATGCTTGGTATCACTTTGAGCCACAAGCCGAGGAAGGCTATATTCCTCCACCTCCACCTTGGAAAAGAGGTGCACCCTTGAGCTCGGCCAGTGCAGTGGGGGCAAAGCGTCCGCGTGTAACATCGGACCCGCAGTTAGCCTCAAGCCGAGGAAGGCTATATTCCTCCACCTTGGAAAAGAGGTGCGCCCTCGAGCTCGGCAAAGCATCCACGTGTAACATCGGACCCGCAGTTAGCCCGATCAACATGCTTTGTCCCTCCGGCTGACCTCGAGGCTGATCTCGATCGAGCTCATGCCAAGGAAGGCTTCTCTCCAAATCAACAGGAGGACTTACCTTATTATCAGAGGGGGAGGAAGAATCTCCAACCAGTCTTCCTACACCAATATCGGATTTCGCAGACAGTCATCTCCATTGCCATCAGAGGATTTTTGTTTGTATTCCCAACTGATTCATAGGCTTATGAAGGTCCTCGAACTCAAAGCTGAGATACTAGTCTTCCTACACCAATATCGGATTTCGCAAACAGTCATCCTCCATCGCCATCAGAGGATTTTTCTTTGTATTCCCAAGTGATTCATAGGATTGTGAAGGTCCTCGAACTCAAAGTTGAGATACCTGCATCAAAAAAGACAGATAAGGTATTTGAAGACATTGCACGGGACCAAACTTCACCTGTTCATCTTGGTTTCATCCCTTCCTTTTCTGATCTTATGTAGGATGCTTGGGCTAAACCCTCTACTTATCAGATTCCAAGGAGGGCCAAAAATTTATATAAGCTTTATGGGACCGAGGCCGATTGCCTCTTGAAGCACCCTCTTCCAAACTTGTTCGTGGTAGACAGCACACAGAACAGAGCTCGGACTCGTTCAATCACTTTTCCCTCCAATAAAGAAGGTCGTAAACTGGACATTCTTGGCTGACGAATTTATTCTCTTGCTTCCTTTGTCCTTCATTTAGCCAATTATTCTGCAGCCATGGGCGCTTATCATTGCCACTTATGGAATTTGGCACTGGCCATTCTGCAGGTGGCTCCTGAGGAGGTTCATAGCCAGGGCACCTCATATCACCAGGAGGCCATGGGGCTCACATGGCACGAGCGCACTGCTGCCCGTCATGCTTTGGAAGCAGGTTCCAAACAATTGGCCACTGCCATCTCTTTGCGGCAACATGCTTGGCTAAGATCTGCCAACATATCAGAAGATGCCAGGGCATGGATCGAGGACCTGCCATTTGATGTAGGACTTTTTGATCAGAAAATTGATGATACAGTATTCTTAATAACCTACTCAAGCTCTGGAAGACGGCATAGTCATTTGCGGCACAACAACCTCGCTCAAGGGGTACCTGGGGCCGCTCTTACCAGCCTAGAGCATACCAGGATCGTCAAAGGCCCCACGCCCAGGGTTACCAACCAGCACCTCGTAGGCAAGTGGGCAGGCAGCACCCTTGCCAACAAAACCGCAGACAGGACTACAGAACCAAGCAGTCTCTTTAATGCACCTGACTTCTCTATCATTGACCAATCAGTCCGTTTGGCCCCTTATCTTTCCAATTGGTGTTCCATCACATCTGATACTTGGGTACTTTCTATCATAGCCACCACTATGCCATTGAATTCAATATGCCCCCTGTCACAGGCCAATTTAAAGCCATCCCTCCCTCTCCCCCTTTGGAAGATGAAATTCAGGCCCTATTACAGAAAAATGCCATTAGGCCTTTACATCCTCCTGATATTTCAACAGGCTTCTACTCTGGGTATTTTACCATCCGCAAGAAGGATGAAGGCCTGCTCTGGGTATTTTACCATCCCCAAGAAGGATGAAGGCCTGCCGCCCATCCTTGTCCTTCAAGGCCTGAATTCTTTTATTACTTCACGTAGATTCCATATGGTTTCCCTGGACTCTGTTATCCACATGTTGCGTCCAGGAGATTGGTTTACCGTGATTGACCTGAAAGATGCTTACTTCCATATTAGTATCCGGTCAGACCATTGACACTTTCTCAGGTTTTCAGTAGGAGGCACAACCTATGAATTTAAAGCTCTTCCCTTTGGCTTGTCCACTGCACCCCGAGTGTTCACTAAATGTCTAGCTCCAGTTGTGGATCACTTACGTCTCTTGGGGATCACTGTTTACCCATATTTGGATGACTGGCTCCTAGCCGCTGATTCCAAATTACAAGCTTGTAGATACACGTCTTTGACCCTGTGTCTCTTGTCGGCGTTAGGTCTGAGGGTCAACATGGAGAAGTCGACTTTGCAACCTACATAACGTGTAAATTATATAGATATTTAGATGCTACCTTGGGGCGAGCTTTTCTCCTCAAGAACAAGATTGTGAAAATACATGGTTTGTTATGCTCCTTTTCTTCAGGTGCATTGATCCCGGCCCTATAGGTCCAGCTACTTCTGGGGTTAACGGGCATCTACCACAGCTGTGGTACAGCATGCTCGACTAAAAATGCTGTCTCTTCAAGCCTGGTTTCTGTCACTCTCTTGAACATCTCATGACCACTCATCCACGTTGCTCCAGGTTACACCAGAACTTGCCGCACAACTAGACTGGTGGAGATCCCCCCAACCTACGGATAGGAAGACCCTTTGGCCTCTTGATCCCGATGGTTCAGTTAACTGTGGATGCCAGCTCGTCAGACTGGGGGGCTTATCTACACCACCATGCTGTCCACAGCCACTGGTCCACGATAGAAGCTGGCCTTCATATCGGTGTACTGGAGCTCCTAGCAATTACCAAAGCCTTTCGGGCCTTCAAGCCCCTACTCTGCGGTCGGGTGGTCCAAGTGGCATCAGACAATACCACAGCAGTTTATTATATAAACAATCAGGGCTGCACTCATTCATTACGCCTTCTGTTTCACACTGTCGACCTTTGGGAATGGTGTTATGTTTGCCACATTTATCCAGTGGCTGTACATTTGACTGGCAAGGACAATTCCACAGCAGACCATCTGAGCAGACTACAGTCCTGCTCCCACGAGTAGGCTCTCAATGATGCCATCTTTCGCCATTTCTGTCGACGATGGGGGACTCCAGATATAGATGTTTTCGCATCTGGAACCAACAAGAAGTGTGCCAAGTTCTGCTCCTGAGCCGGCATTAGCCACAACTCTCTGGGGGACACCTTCTTGATGAATTGGTCATGTGGCCTCCTTTACATGTTTCCACCTGTTCCCCTTATTCAAAGGGCCGTTGTTCAAATCTGACAAGATACTTATAGCCCCTTGGTGGTCTCGTCAGCCATGGTTCTCGATCCTGTTCTTGAGAACCTCAGAATACATCAGGCTGCAGTTGGTCCCTCATCTACTGTCTCGAGACAAGGATCGGATTTTTCATCCAGACCTCGAGTCCCTCCACCTGACAGCTTGGAGGCTTCCCCAACTGTAGCAGACATGCTCAATTATGCTCACAAACCTTCTACCACCTTGACCTACTCTTATAAATGGAAGGCATTCTGTCAATTCACATCAAGATGACATTTGCCTACTAATCCAACCTCTCTGGATGCACTCCTTTAGTTTCTCCTCCACCTGTTTTGCCTGGGACTGGTCCATTCTACCTTCAAGGTCTACATAGCAGCCATCGTAGCCCATCAACCTCCATCTTCTCCAGCCATGCTCTTCCGCCATCCTACCTTGAAGCAATTTCTCCGAGGTTTGAAAAATACGCACCCTGCCTATAGACCACTAACACGACTGCTTATGAGGCCTCCCTTTGAGCCCTTAGCACCTGCATCACTCCGCTTCCTAACTTTCAAGACTGCCTTTCTCCTGGCAATAACCTCAGCTCACAGGGCTGGAGAACTGGCTGCATTAAGAGCAGATCCTCCTTTTCTGAAATTTCACCCAGACCCTACGACCAGACCTTACCTTCCTTCCTAAGGTATCTTCTGCCTTCCACTTAAACCACCCAATTGTGCTTCCTGCTTTCTTTCCCGCACCAACTTCACTGCTTCAGACAGTTCTGCACTCTCTGGACATGAAGTGTGCTCTATCCTGTTATGTACACTGCACATCCACTTTTCATTCCTCATAACGACTCTTCTTCACCTTTGCTGGCCCCTCCATGGGAGCACTGGCTTCCTCTCAGACCATCTCTAGATGAATAGTCCACACCATCCAACTTGCCTATGACTTAGCAGAAACTCCTCTTCCAGGACCAGTGAGAGCTCACTCTACTAGAGCTGTAGCATCCTCAACGGCCTTTCTCTGTGGAGTGGACATTGCGGACATTTGCCGAGCAACCACATGGGCCACTCCGTCTACCTTCATCTCCCATTACTGCCTGGATGTCTGAGCGAAGGCTGAGGCTGTGGTAAGTCAAGCTGTCCTGGCTTCTGCACTTTTGTGATGTCCCTCCTTCTGGTAAGTGAGCTTACTGGTCACCCATTAGTGTGCATTCACAGAGACCATTAAGAAGAAAAAGAGGTTACTTACCTGTAACTCTGGTTCTTCGAGTGGTCATCTGTGAATTCACACTCCCCACCCATCCTCCCTGCTGTCCGTCACGTGTGCCATTGCATTCTGGGTAGTGGCAGTTGTTTCCTTCGAACTGAGGCACTCGATGCTGGGGGCGGGGTTATAGCTAGCGTGGGTGAGGTCCTGGCACCATGTGCTCGAGCTAGAAAGTTCCGAGGCTCCTCCACGCAAGCGCGGATTAACTCATTAGTGTGAATTCACAGATGACCACTCGAAGAACCAGAGTTACAGGTAAATAACCTCTTTTTCTTTTATCTATTGGAAACATATTCATTCTAACAGTACAATTAAAATTTGATGTTATCTGATTAGCGTTAGATTAGGCATCATTCAGTCTCGAGAGACTATGGTAATGTGCTCTGAATAGAGGACTTGGAACAGCATCTAGTGTGGCTGAGGAGGCCAATTCAAGAGTGACAATCTCTTCCACACTGAATACAAATACAACCTGTTCCCCGTCCAGCTCCTGAGATTTTGCTGGTTTCGGGACTGCCTTTTTCTATCTAATTAGCATATGAAATGCTGTACTGTTTAAACTTAATTGGAGACACAAAGTAATCGACTTTGATTGGATAGTTATAGCCTGTTCTAGCACTGACATGCAGTGTAGTATTTGTGGTCATGTTTCAGCAGCTCTGTGTCTTTAATCTTTTAGGGATGAAGTAAGAGCCCCTATTCCTCAAAAGCAAGAAATTCTGGTTGAACCTGAGCCTTTATTTGGTGGTAAGTGAACTCTATTTTAATCTTCTCTGCATGTGGTAATAACTGAGAAAGCTGCCTGGATTCTGACTAGCTGTCATCCATTTTTCTTCTATAGAGCTGCAAAATGTGATCTTATAGTACTGAACTTTATATGCAACAGTTTATTCCCAGCCTTGGGCTCGTTGTGCTCAATAAAAATAATTATTTCCATACATAAATTGGTAAACCTAAAAATATGTTTCATATACTGTGTAGGTTCTAAGCTTCTGTTACTCCCATTTTCTAGGTGGGGAACTGAAGCAGGGTGATTCTGCTTAAATACCATTTCCAAACTTCTGTTTTTATAGTTTTTCATTATAATGATGGGAGACTTACAGGAAAGAGTAGTGTTTTATACTTAAAATTGGTTGAGTTAGTGACAAGAATCTCCAGCCATCTAAGCCCGAGGATGGACAACATGTGATCTTCAAGTTGGACTGCAGTTTGTAGTCACTGGAGCCTGTGCTGGCTAACACTGCTAGGAAATGGAGCCCATGAATATCACGAGAGCCAAATGTTGCTTATCCTTGTTTTTAGAAAAGTTGTGGAGACCAGTTGAGGCTAGTGACTTATACATTGAAAAGTATCACTGACATAGTACAGTGAGATCAGGTTCTTAGCAGCAAGACTCATGAAGCTATTTTCTTGCCTACCACCAAGAAAATAGCTTCATGAATCTCGCTGCTAAGAACGTGATTTCACTGTACAGTACTATTTCTAGAGAATGGCCTAGAGGAGATGGCTGGCTTGCAATAATGAGTTACTTAAGAGACAACTCTGTTTTATAGGTGAAATAGGAGTGCCATCATTTAGTTTGTTGTAGTAATGCATTAGTAAATTTCAAGGGGGTACCTGGTTGTTTATCCTACTGCTCAAACAATAAATGGACTGTAGTATGAAAAGTAATATCATAATGAAATGCAAGTAGAACAATTAAATTAACTTTTTCTGCTACAGGAACACTTGAACAGTTGTTAACAGTTACTTTTCTTTTGAGATGCTGATTGTTTTGTTCTGTTTTTCAGGGTGATTTATATTCACCTAAGATACACGTATAGGTCAGCAGATTTCTAAAACAAAAGCTTGTATTTGCCAAACTAAGAACACATTTAGTTAAACTCTCCTGTTTTTTTTCCCCCCAGCATCATTGTAATTGGTATTCTATGCTGGGCAGGATGATGGTGATCTGAGTGTGGAGGAACTCTCTGTAGTTCAGTTGTCATGGGCAGATCACTACTTGATGAGGTTTAGACTATAGATGGGACAGTCCAGCCCTGGGGGCTGGACGCTTATGTCCACCTCTGCAGGGATATTCATATACGAATAATCCCATCTCTAGTTTAGACTTATTGGAACATTTAATGTCTGCAGGGGTAGAGGACCAATTAGGATGGTTCAGCTCAGGAGACTAATGGATCCCATTGGTTTTCTGATGGATCTTGGGGAGTTCCTTGTCACCTTTGCAGGCAATCCTGTTGAAGTCCTGGCTGACCTCTGGAATGGGGAAATGTCCAGGGCTGTGGAAGCAATTGCTTCTAAGCATCCCCTCCCATGGAGTAGAGCTAGGCCAGCCCCCTAGTTTACCAGGGAACTGGCTGTGATGAAACGAGTGGGATGGCAACTAGAGTGACAATAATGGAAAACTCAGAGTTAATCTAACAAGATACGGGCTAGAGCTCTTTTGAAGGCATATTCTGTGGCAATGGATGCAGCAAAGAAAGGGTTCTTTGCTGCCACCATTGCATCTGCACAAAGTCATCCAGTGGAGTTGTTTTGAGAGGTCAGGGGCTTAATACATGCTCTACCAAAAGAATAAAATGTTGACCACTCAGCAACCTGTGTGAGGAATTCTCACAACAGTTTGCAGATAAAGTCACTTGGATCTGCTCTGACTTAGATGCTATAATTGATGCAGGTCCTGCAAATTCAACTCTGGCTCCTGCTTGTCCTGTTTTAATAGATACTTTTCCATTGTTGCAGCTTAGTGATGTGGGCAGGATTCTTGGAGAGGTGAAGGCTACCACTTGTTTGCCAGACCCTTGCCTTTTCTTCTTTATCAAAGCTGCCATAGAGGGACTGGTCTAGTGGGTGTGAGGGATGGTGAATACCTCCTTGCAACAGGGTGGGATCTCAGCGTGTTTAAAGGAGGCAGTAATAAAACAATTATTGACTAAATCCTCCTTGAATCCCAGTTTATTGGACAGCTATTGGCCAGTCTAAAATATTTAATTTCAGGGCAAGGAATTGGAGTATGTGGTGGTTTCTCAGCTCCAGGGATTCCTGGAGGAAGCAGATTATCTAGTGGTTCTCAGACTAAGGTTCCCGGATGGATTCCTGGAGGAAGCAGATTATCTAGACTAGTGGTTCTCAGACTGAGGTTCCCGGATGTTCTTGGACTGCAATTCCCAGATGCTTTCACCACTTGCTGTGCCAGCCAGGATTTTTGGGTGTTGCAGTCCATCCATTTTAATGTTTACTTGCTTTTAATTGTTCAGTTGTATTTTAATTAGCATATTGTTGAATTGTTTTTTAATCTTTAACATATTACATTTTTAATTCTGTTCCTTTTAATATTGTGAGCTGGCTTGAGTCCCTTTATCAGGAGAAAGGCAACAAACAAACAGTAGCAGCAGTAGCAACACTCTTTAGGTATACAAGGACCATTTTTTCTCAGTTGCTCCTATACTGACACTTCCATGAGCACTAGACTGGGTAGTTGCAACAACCTGCTTTACTTTCTTCACTTCTGAAATGTTTCTGCTATCCATCCCAACACCCTGAAGAAGGACACTTCTTCTGCCCTTCTATGGGGAAATCAAAAGGGGGAATTTTTGACAGGTGCTTCCAAGAAATAGGCCAGGCTAAGGAGAGGACGTCACTGGCTGAATAGGAATGTGCTGTGAGCAAGCACTTTCTTCACTTCTTACCCAGATAATTGTGTGGTCCCCACATTGTGGATATTTCACTGAACTGTCCATTTATTTTGTTTTGAATGCTTTTTGTTGCCTGGCTCTATGTTACTGCTGCATTGTATTTTGCCAGTAGATCTTACTGGTCTCGGTTTTCCAGTTTTGAGGAATTTCTAGTTTTCAGAATTTTAATGTATTTTTGTATTTTCTTTACACATTATATGTCAATTGCCTTGAAATTGTTAGCATGCAAAAGTAGCCTATAAAACATTAGGCTATAGACACGTGAAAATTGGGAGCACAGAATTCATGTACTGATGATTACATATGTATGCCAAATTAACCTAATACATTATTGATCTAAAGTCATCTTGAGTGCAAAATTGCATTATAGCTTCAGACTTTTCTACAGCCAGTCCACAGTGAGATTGCATTTAAAAGGTTTTTAATACTAATCTGTGCTTTAAATGCTGTTTTTATTAAGCTCCAAAAAGACGCAGACCTGCTCGTTCAATATTTGATGGTTTTCGGGATTTCCAGACAGAAACTAGTAAGTACCTGTGAATCATTATCTTTGCATACCATTTTGCCTTTTTTTTAACTAGCTGTATCTGTGGTCAGTAATGTTGACCCTCTAGAACAGGGGTCTCGAAACTTTTCACTGTGAGGGCCACATAGTATATTTTCAACATTTTCGAGGGCCAAAGGAACACTTGTGCGCATGCACATACATACGCACACACGCACAGACTGGATAAAAAGGCAAGGTGAGCCAAATGTGGTCCGTGGGTCATAGTTTGGAGACCTCTGCTTTAGAGCAAAAATGGGATCTGTAACTTGTCCAGGAAACTGAATAAACAGGCACAAGGGAACCTGAGTTTTAATACACCAAGCCAGTCTTAATGAACCATTCATTTCCTGCATCACAACCTATTTAACAAAAGGCAAGGAGTTGAGGTTGAGAGACAAATAACTTGGCCAAGAAACTGAATGCAAGGCAGAAGTTTTATCTGAGCTGCAGAAGGTCAAATTTGGCCTGCAGAACACAAGCATCTATGTATAGTCAAAAAGCCCACTAAGTGCACTTACATAAGCACACAGTCACATAGGCAGAACATTCCACATCGAAGAGAAAGAAACAAGCAGACCATCTTAACACCACTCCAAAACACAACAGATACAAAAGCAGGCAAAACACAAATATAGCACAGGTGAAACAGCCCACTTTGCTACATGTCATCCTCTGTAGCCCACAATAGTATTTTAGTGTGCTATAAAGCTCCCCTCAACATCCAGAATCCAACATGCATCCCTCTCCCCATTACCTTTCCCCTCAAAAGTAAGTACCACACTACAGCTGAGCAACACTTTAATTTGTCAAAATTGCTTCCGGGCCCTAATATGGACCCTAGTACTATTTTTGAAAATAAAAATAACCTTGAAGTCCAGCATGTTACCTTGTAGCTTACTAGCCACCTATCTTGATTTTTTAAAAAATTAAATACACAAGCAATTTCTCTGTCCTGCTCATCTTCCTGTATTTGTTTGTATTTTGAAACAAGCCTTGGGCAATTCTAACAATTATGATTTCTATATGTGTAATGAAAATAAAATGTTGCTGTGAAAATATGGTCTAACTCCCCCTTTTCCCCCCTTCTGGGTCTCTACAGTTCGACAGGAGCAAGAGTTGAGAAATGGAGGAGCAATAGACAAGAAACTCACCACACTTGCGGATCTCTTCAGGCCTCCAATAGATCTGATGCATAAAGGAAGTTTTGATACAGTAAGTTCCTATGTTTTAATAAAGTTCCTTGTTGTTCTATATATAGTAAGTAAGTAAGTAAATAAGTAAGTAAGTAAGTAAGTAAGTAAGTAAGTAAGTAAGTAAGTAAATAAGTAAATAAGTAAATAAGTAAATTAATAATAATAATAATAATAATAATAATAATAATAATAATATATGCCCACATATGTGTGTAATTTTTTATTATGCTAAGTCAGTGTGCTTATGTCCAACATTACCACCACCTGCTTTTTATCAAAGGTGTTTCACAGGTGTCAGCAGTTAAGTAACTTGTGCATATGTGACAGTGATTTAGATGGAGGTTCTCTAGTTCCATTGAGTGGCAAGCTATGTACCTAAAAAGAGATTTGCTCTTTTAATCTTGGTTAAAACATTTTTGTAACGGAATTGTTAGAATCATTTAGCTATACCAAACATAATGGCCCAGAGCAAAATCTTAATACCGCACATTTCAAAGGCTTATGTCTGGCATTTGTGGGAAGAAACTTCGTCTAAACTAATGGAGAAAATACCATAGTCTGAGTAAATGCTAATACACTCAACTGGTTAACTGCCTGACTCAGTTTAAAACAGATTCTTGTATTACTGAGATTTTGGCAGACATAACGTCCACTAAGTATGCTTAGAACTGAAGTTTTGAAGTTTGTTAGCTAAAGTAGCCTATCTATACCTTACAAATTGGGGAGAAACTTAATTGAAAAACGTACAGATAATATTTTACACCCATAAAAAAGGGGCTACTATTTAAAACTACCTACTATTTATTTCTTTGCTAAAATCCTTTTGGGGATTTACACTTTTGTAAGGGAAATTGCACACATTGTGGCAGCAAATTGTTGTTGCTTAGTTGTTAAGTCGTGTTCAACTCTTCATGACCCCATGGACCAGAGCACGCCAGGCCCTCCTGTCTTCCACTGCCTCCCAGAGTTGGGCCAAATTCATGTTGGTAGCTTCAATGACACTGTCCAACCATCTCGTCCGCTATCATCCCCTTCTCCTCTTGCCTTCACACTTTCCCAACATCAGGGTCTTTTCCAGGGAGATGGCGAGAGTATTGAAGCCTCAGCTTCAGGATCTGTCCTTCCAGTGAGCACTCAGGGATGATTTCTTTCAGAACGGATAGGTTTGTTCTCCTTGCAGTCCAGGTGCCTCTCAAGAGTCTCTTCCAGCACCACAATTCAAAAGCATCAATTCTTCGCTGGTGAGCCTTCTTGAAGGTCCAACTCTCACTTCCATACATGGCTACTGGAAAAACCATAGCTTTGACTATGCCAGGAGTCGGGGAACTTTTTTACCTCCCCCCCCAAGAAAATTATTTATGTTGACATTATCCCCCCTTGGCTCTTGCCATCCACGGCCGAACCCCGCTCCGCCTCTGTGCTTGCTCGGGACCTGTGGCCACCATCCGGGCAGCCAGTCTGGAGCTGCCACACCGCTGGGAAAGCGCGTCCTTGGCAAGGGGAGGCGGGCATTGCAGGGCTGGCAGGTCTACTGGCCATGAACTCAGTTGAGGCGGGGTGGGAAGGGGGCCTCCTCGCCAGCGCACTGGGCAGGTGGGTGCAGGCAGGAAGGAGAGCCCCGGCAAGGGCTCCGCTGGGCAAAGAGTCCAGTTCTCCTGGTATGCCACCCTCCCCCCCCCCACTTTGGAGGCAAGGAGGACAGGTGGGTGCCCTGTGCACCAAGGCTCACGCTTCTCACGACAGAATGCCCACCTACACACAGCATCGTCAGAAATAAAATGCCTGGGGGTAAAATGCCTGCCGCAACAGTCCTCATTACCCCCAGGATTTTCATTTTTACCCCATTTGGGGTAATTTACCCCTGTTCCCTGACCACTGGACTATGCAAACCTTTGTCGGCAAGGTGAATGAGATGCTGGTTGTGCTTTTGGGTGCACAGGTATACTGGTGTAAATCAAGAGGATTCTGGCCATTATGCATGAAATAAAGAAACTTGCATATAATTTAACAAACGTCTGTAAGTGGCAAACTGCAGATTGATTCAAGGGACAAATGTCTGGTTTTCTTCTTTGTAGCAGCAGCAGGGTAAAGTGAATCAGTTTGTTCATTTCTCTAATGATTATGAGAAAATAACACTAGACTTTTTTACATTGTACATTATTTAACAACCCAGAGCTCCAGTTATATGAAGCAGTTAAAAAACAGTTAATGCTTTGTGGTAAATTCAGATTGCTTTTACTGGTGTGGGAATGCACAGGTATTCTGGTGCATGGAGGTTGACAGCTTGCTGGCCTGGGAGGCTATTTGTTCATTCCATCTTTTTGATTCTGTAAGAGTAATTGGAATTGCTTGTCATTCTATTCCAAACCTAAGCAGATTAGCAGTACAACTGTTAAAGGAAACCAGAATCCTTACTGACAGTCAGTGCAGTCATTAACTAGTGACTCCCATATTAAAGAACAAACTTTAAACTTTGCCCAGCTATGATTAGTTTTCACCAAAGTAACTGATAGTCAGCCTAACCTGCTCGCAAAATTGTTGTGAAGCTAAATCTGAGAAAATTGGAAAGTGGTCTATGCAGATTTAATGCAGGTGTCTGTGACTCAAGCTGTAATGTCTTTATAGAAAGGAACAGTGGATCCCATAATCATGTTGTCCCTCCCTCCACCCTGCCCCAGTTTCTTTTACATGAGTATTCACAATTCTCAAGTTTACATCTTACATAGTATCTCTGCAATTTGAAAACACACTTCAACATTTTGAGTTTGCGCCATGTGAATTTCTGAGATTTGTTGGCTTTGAAAATGGCATTACAAGAACAAACTTAGAAATTTTAATAGTGATTTGGAGTTGGGAGATCTTTTTGATTCTTTTGATGCAGAGTGGATCAAAATCAATGATTTTTTTTAAAAAAATTGATTTAAATCATATCCACTCTGTGCCTCAAGAATTTGTGAGCTATACTGAAGAATGGCTCTAAAAGTCCTGATCTGAATTCTAATGCAGTTTTCTTAAAATACGTCTAGATGGTGCAGACCAAATCTTCAGTTGCATGCCAGTGTTTCATTGTCACTCACTGTAATGCACACTTGCAAAATGCAGATCTCTCAATAACTAGTCCTCAACAGTTTACTTAGAAGTATGTTTATACTGAAGTGAACATTTGGGTTTAGTATCATAGGCTGAGAATTTACCCACCACCTAAAAAGGTGACAAAATGAGACAGAATCTGAATTGGTTGATTTATATGACCAAAACTAAACTAGAAATCATTACTGTTACCTGGCTGCAGAATCAAGGGTTCAGGAATCCAATTCCCTCCTGTGCCATGTAGTAGGTGAGCTAGTCTGTGTGACCTTGGGCAACCTACAGAGTCTTGAAGTGCCCCTTAAAGAGGGGAATGACAAACCACTTCTGAGTGCTCTATACCTAGAAGTCTTAGAAAGGTCACTGTATTGTAAATTGGAATAGAATTGATGGCTGTTCTTCAATATTATTATTATTATTTTGTAGAAATATAGTGCAACTGACCATAGTAAGGAGTGTTTGGGGAATTTTTATGTGTGTACATGTGGGTCTGGTCTCTGGGTGTCTGTGTGAATTTCGTTATATGGGTATGCTATGTATATACAATGACAATAAATTATTTGGTTTGATTTATTTGATTTGTTTGAGATTATGACAAGGTGACATTTTTGCCTGCTCAGTCTGCTGTTTAGGTAGTAACTGTTGATGGGCTCTCCCGTCAGACTTTATCTTTAAAATGGACTTGGATGGACAACTCTTCAAAATTAAGAGTTTTTTTTTTTAAAAAGTAAGATACTGGGCCACCCTAAATGCCTAATACCTTCCATCAAAATCTGAAAAACACTCTCTCATACCATGTGAGTCAAGTACTAATTAATATGCACACAGTTTTACTAAAATACTGCTATTTGTTATTTTTAGCACACACGTTCATTTTATTTTTAACACATTCCTCTTCTAAATGGCCCAGGTCAGCCAGCAAGTTAGATAATCAGAGTGTGGTACACAAACTCCCTTGAAGTTATACTTCTAAGATCACAAATATTTGATAAAATGTCGTAGAACTGTTAGTGAAGATCAGCAACTGAACAATTATAGCATTTGCCTATACCCGGAAAACATATATGAATAAAGATTCTGTTTTAAGTACTTGATAATTGTGAGGAAGGTAACAGGGAAGCCAGCCTCCCTGTTAATGTGCCATCCCCTCTTTCTCACAGGTGGGGGGATATGAAACAACAAGGTCCCCCACAGAGGTCAGGATAATGGCATTAAAACCCAGCATCACACACACACCCCAAGCCGTCAACCCAAATCCACTGAGCTCAGGAAAGTAGCCATCCAATAAAGATGCTCAGGGAGGCAGGGAAGAAAATCCAGTTACCAATAAAAGGAGGAGAGAGAGACAAGAGCAAGAAGAGAAGAGCCAAAGGGAGAGGAGGAGGAGGGTAGAAAGGAAGAATTAAACATTACCGTAGGGATGCTAGTTGATAGAGAGAGAGGATCCATGGAGTAGAGAAATAATCAAACTGAAAGTGCCAAAGGAAGAGGAGAAAGAGTAGGCCACCCTGAAAGCCTTCCTATTCAGGAAAAAGGGAGCTAAGATAACAGAGGATATTGGAGAGGGAAAGAGGAGTACGCAAAATGGAAGATTTTTTTTTGCACCCAAGTATCTTCACTAGAATATGACTCTGGTGATTGACCTGAGAAAGGTTTTTGACGCAACATTCTTCTAAAGAGTTAGTGGTGTCCAGTAATGCTCCTTTCCCAGATAGTTGACTGTTTTATTTGCTCATTGATTATTGGTAGATCAGATAACTTCACTCAGAAAAGTAAAATATTATTTTCTAAGAAGCAGCACTAGCAGGAAAGGTGTGTTTCCTTTCATTAATAATTCAATTGGTGCAAACACAGGCATAAATCTTCTTTAAGGAAGTCTGTACATTTTTCCTATTTATTTGGGAAATATGAGGATTCCAATTTTTGATATAGCACTCTTTTTCCCAACAGGTATGACATTTCAAGGATCAGAATTATATTCTTGATCAAACTCCTACATTAAGTTTCAACCAACCAATCAGGCAATGCCAGCTTTGTAACTCAAACCAGTAAGAACTCTTCCTGCAATTTCAAGCCTTCTCATCTCCCCTATTTACAGTCTGAATGGTTATTAGAAAGTAGTTCTCCAGTGGTACCAGAATATAGTCTGAGGATGAACAGTACAGAAAGAGACTTCAAGTCTATTAGTCATGCTAACTCACCACAATTTTGCCTCTTGAATTAGCTAATCTATTTTACAGTCAAATCCATATATTTACAGCTTTGAGAAGTTTACTGTTTTGGACGACAACTCTCAGAATCCCTAAACAGTATGACCATTGGCTGTATGTTGGAGAATTTTGCAAGGTGTAGTGCAAAACAAAAAAACAGAAAGACTTTCAGAACGTTGCATATGACCCTATCATAGTCAACTCTAAAATGTTTTATTCACTCTTGCAATTTTGAAATAAAAAATTCCTCCCCTGCCCCAGCTTTCCTGTTCTTGACATATTAATAGACATCAATTTGAGATTAATAGTATAGTCTTCATTTTTTACAAATTCTACTCTAGAATTATCTGATTTTGCACACTACTTGACAGGCTTGTTCACAGATTATTTTGAGTCCTGGTAGTATTTTGCAATATGCAGAAGTTTTAGTGAAGGTGTCACATTAAGCAGAAACCATTATTGCTGGCATCATTTCTTGCTGGATTGTCATTCTTAGCTAATACGTCTAATGTTTGTTTTATCTCCAGGCCAAGGAGTGTGGTCAGATGCAGAACAAGTGGCTCATGATTAACATACAGAATGTGCAGGATTTTGCCTGTCAGTGTCTCAATCGTGATGTTTGGAGCAATGAGGCTGTGAAAAATATTATCCGGGAACACTTCATATTTTGGCAGGTGAGAAGCTTGCTTTTTAAGTGACTGAAAAAATAGTAGCAGAGTCAATATTTTGTATTTAACTTTCCTGACCTATCTCATTTAAATAATTCTGTGGCAGTAGAATTAATGTACACTCTGCTCTACTGAGGCTAAAAGTGTAACTCCCTTTAATGCTCTCAAGCCTTAAAGCAATATTCTTGACTTTTTATAGGTATATCATGACAGTGAGGAAGGACAAAGATACATACAGTTCTACAAACTATCAGATTTCCCTTATGTATCTATCTTGGACCCTCGGACTGGTAAGAATGAAATCAACTGCATACAGTAGTGGATGATTAGCATTCCTCTTCTGTAAATGAAATAGTTAGTTGGTACTTTTTGACCTTATTATCAGTTTTCCGCTATCAAAATAAATCCATCATAAACAAAAACAGGGAAGGACTATTGCTTTTTTTGACCTGCCCATGAACTGCTTTTAGCATACTTGACCAGATGGAGCCTGGGTTTGACCTAATGGGAAAGTTTTGGTTTTGTTGGTGGTGCTAATGATTTTATTTTTTATTTTTTGGCTATTGTGTGTGGTTTTGTAAAACCATAATATTGCAATTACCTGTTTGACTTTTGGGAATAACTATTAGTATTTCTGTCCTGCTTGTTCACAATGCTGCTTCTGCTACCTCTTCCAAACTGTTTTGCAGATATTTTAGAAATCCTGTTAAAATAACACCCGTGATTGTACTTTTCCAGCCTTCTGCAGTGCAAAAGTAGATTCCATTAAAAGTCCATGTTTTTTTTTCAGTTCTATTTGGTATTTGGAGGATGATTTAAACTGGCTTCTTATTATTTTAAACAGGGCAGAAGTTAGTGGAATGGCATCAGCTAGATGTAACTTCTTTTTTGGACCAAGTGACTGGGTTTTTAGGTGAACATGGACAACTGGACGGACATTCTACAAGCCCTCCACAGAAGCGCACTCGCTCTGTAAGTATAATTTTTATGTGATGGCTGGAAGAGGTGTATTGAGTACATTTGTGTCAGTATTGTGAAAAAACAGTTCTCTCTTTCTTAATGGCAAGATTTAGATTAACATTCAAACATACAGTAATATAAGCAATACATTACTGCTTAGACAAAAATGTTACAGAAAAGAACTATTGCCCTATCTTTTGTTTCCCTACACTTATATACATTTAATGTAACTTGTCTTTCACTTTTGTTTTATGGCTGTATGGATTAGGAAAGTCTCATTGATGCAAGTGAAGATAGCCAATTGGAAGCTGCCATCAGAGCATCCTTACAAGAGACACATTTTGACTCTGACCAAGTCAAGCAGGAGAGCAGATCAGATGATGAGTCTGAATCGGAACTTTTCTCTGGAAGTGAGGAGTTCATTTCTGTTTGTGGTTCTGGTATGGATGAGCCAGACAATCCTGCCAATCCTGCCAAGTCTAGGAAATCTCCACACAAAGACATGGGGTGTAGGAAAGAGGAAGGCAGAAGGGCATTACCTGAGCCTTCTGCAAGGACTGAACCTGAGATGGTAGCAAACCATCGAGGACTGTCTTGCATGGATGCTGGGGTTCTAGAAGAGACTGGAAGCAAGCCAGAAGGTGCAGTGAAGGAACTGAATGTGAATGGTACGTATGGCAGTTAGATGTGTCCCTTTTTTTCTGAAGCTTTAAAACTTGATAAACTGATTACCAAAAAGACCACAAATTAGGCTAGACTAATTACAACATGCAACACAGTTTTTTCTGTCACTCACAGTATATTCAGAAAAAATGGCAAAGTGACTATCATAAACTATATCTCCAGTGAAAAATTACAAGTTCCAGTACAGTAAACCAGTTTGTCAATAACATTTCCAAAACAGAACTTCACTAAAAATTCCAAATGCATTTTAACCAGTCCGTCTTGGTAATTGATCTGATTAAGCTCTGGCAGTATTTGTATTGAAATCGCCAGCATCGAGATGTATCACAGAAAGTGCAAGGTATAAAAATTATTTGCAGTTACATGGTTTGAATCACTGCAAATGTAGTTTATTTTATTTTTTAATTTGTTTATTTTTAAACAATCATAGGGCATAATTATTTTATGTCACTTGTAGAATTTAAACTAGTCTCTTCAAAATTATGCCTGAAAGTCAATGGCTTTAGTTCTAAGTCCCTATTAGAGTAAATCCACTTAATCAGTGGGACTTCAGCAAGTCAGTGCTTATGTGATGATAAGGATAAAAAATCAAACTATAAATACAAAAAGGGCTAAGACAAAAGTAAAATAAGAGGGTTTGGGAGGAGAAATATTAAAGTTTCAGGAATATTAAAATAGAAATTGTCAAAGAAATTAAAAGAGAGAAATAAAAGGATAGGAAAAAAAACAGAGTGCAATTTAACAGGAATAAGTGCAGAGTTCTACACCGAGGGGGGTGGTGGACCCAAATGCACAGTTACAAAATGGGGGATACTTGGGTCATTAATACTAAGAGTGAGAATTGTTGTAGATCAAAAGCTGAATATGAGGCAACAGTGTGTTATGGCTGCAAAAAATGGAAAGGTAATTTTGGGATGTATTAACAGAAGTATAGTCTCCAAATCTCATAAAATACTAGACCCTCTATTCAGCACAGGTTAGGCCTCATCTAAAGTACTGCATCCAGTTCTGGACACCACACTTTAAGAAAGATGCCAACAAACTGGAACAAGTTAAAAGGAAGGCATGGAGGATGATCAGTGCACTGGAAACCAAGCCATAGTCAGTGCACTGGAAACCAAGACTGAAAGAAGTAGGCATGTTCAGACTTGAGAAAAGACTGAGGGGAGATACGATAGCATTTTTCAAATATTTGGAAAGTACAGTGGTGCCCCGCTTGACGACAACCCAGTTAGATGATGAAATCGCTTTACGATGAGTTTTTTTGCGATTGCAAAATGATGGTTCCAATGGGTTTTTTTCGCTTGACGTTGATTACGAGCCTGCTTCACAAACCGTTTGCTCGCTAAACGATTATTTTTCCGGTTCCGCAAAATGGCTTCCCTTCACAAAATGGCTTCCCTCCCTTCGCAAAATGGCTGTTTTCCGGACCCCTGCTTTGGAAGACAGCAATTTTAAACAGCTGATCAGCAGTTCTCTATGGGTGATATTCACTGGACGATGCGGTATTTCCCCATTGGAATACATTAGCCAGTTTTCAATGCATTCCAATGGGTTTTTTTCTGCTTGACGATGATTTTGCTTAACAGCGATTTTCCTGGAACAGATTATCGTCGTCAAGCGGGGCACCAGTGTAATCATACAGAGGCAGGATCTGTTCTCAACCATCCCAGAGTGTAGGATACATACGCATGGCCTCATGTTACAGGAAGCCAGATTTCGGCTGAATATCAGGAAAAATGTCTTAACTGTTAGAGCAGTACAACAGTGGAAGCAATTACCTTGGGAGGTGGTGAGTGCTCAAACGCTGGAGGTATTCAAGAGAAAATTAGACAACTATCTGTGAGATCTGCTTTGATTTGGATTTCTGCATTGAGCAGGGGTTTGGATATAATGGCCTTATAGGCCCTTTCCAACTGAATTATTCTATGAAAGTGGAGAAATGGAAAGGGTAGGATGATAACATTGAGTTTCATTTGCATGTACATGCTGTCAAGCATGCTTTAATTTATCAGGAGAAAAAGCATAATTAATAGATGGAGAGGATCCAGAATAGATTCTTGAGGAATTGTTGCATGCTACTGATCTGGAGGCTTCCCATAAATTCAACAATTTGACTAGATCATCTGACTGGATAATTCAGTGAGCTTGCCAGACTCAGTGTCCTTGCCAGAAGAGCTAGTCTGTATAGCCATGAGCAAGCTACACGGTTGCAGGATGCTCTCAGAACAGGCATCTTCATCTTAGTACTGCAGAGCTGGAAGGGGCCCTATGAATCAAGGCCAGTTCCTCCTGTCAAGGAGGCACAGTGGGGAATTGAACCTCCACCCTCTGGCTCTGCTGCCGGATGCCTAAACCGCTGAACTATTCTGAATATTCTCTACCTAGAAAACCCTGAAAAGTCACTATTAGTCCGAATTAACTTGGTGGCACACATTTATATAGTATTAGCTAGATCACCTTAGTAATATCCTTTATCCTTTGTCAGAAATATTTGTATTCCTTGGTTATTTAGTTACCAGTACACAGAACACTAAAGCTAAATGGAGGGGTTCTACTTAACCTTTTACTTCCTTCTGCCAGGACCAAAAGCACAGTTAATGCTGAGGTATCCAGATGGCAAGAGGGAACAAATTTCACTGCCTGAACAAGCTAAGCTTCTGGTAAGTAAAAGTAACTGAAGAGTGAATGCAGGGAGCAGTTGCCAAAATCCTATGGCCTTTAAGCCCTTTCGCATCCCTGTGTGTTTCAGATGCTGATTTTCTTGTTTCTCTGTCTTTGTGCACCTGAAATTTAGGAAGACAACATTACTTTCTCCTTTTATATGGCTGATATTCTAGATATCTCTTAATAGCTGAGTTTTCTTTCTGTGACAAGATCAAGTGCAGCTCTCCCCAATCTCATTCTCTTTAGATGCTCTGGATTGTATTTTCCATCATCCTCAGCCATGGCCACTGAGTAGGGGTGAAATTATGGCAGTTGTAGTCTGACACTTTTGGAAGTCAACAGGTTGGGTAGGGTTGATCTAGTGATATCATCACAGGACTCCACTCAAACTTTTATTTTCTGCCTTACAAGTGTCCCCTCCTGATGAAACTGAGCCATTGACACAGGAGGGGGAGTTGTTCATAGTACATTTTGTTAACTAGTAACTGGTATTCAAAACATAAGCCAACATCCTGTTGCATAACAAGCAAATTTGTAAGTTTTAGTCTGTTCCTTGTTAGTAAATTAAAAGGCTCCACTGTGATTCTTGGCATGCATACATGCACCAAGCCATGGGCTTGCACCTGCAAGAATAACCGTGCAACTCTCTACAGTATTTACTAGCAGGAAACAAACTGAAATATATGATTTTTGGTCATGTTCTGCAACAGGATTTTGTTTGTTTGTATCCATTTCTATAGTGCCCCATTAGTATTGCCACAAACTGGTGGTTTACAACATGTAATAAAAACATAACAACACAATATAATAAACACAATTAAATACAATTAAATCTTGTCAATAGCTGAAGCTACTTTTAAATAAATTACACAAATACACAAATCCCATGTGAACATCTCAGGACAGAATTTGGCTATATTCTTCTTTGTGTCAGAAGCAATCTAGTGGTGTTTCTAGAGTAGCAGTAGCAGCTAACAGAGCACTGTTGTTGCCCAGGGGACATCCAAATGTACTCATAGTCATGACATTCTTCTGGGAGGCTCCTTTCCTGTCCCCAAGCCATAGTGTTGATACAGTTATTAGAATGAGAGACATGTTAAGATTATGTTTTAAAGGCTTACTCTATTCCTGGCAACATGTACTTTTCTCCCTTCTTGTCTTGTCTGCATATTTCTTGTGTTCTTGTGTTCCATTTCGTGATCAGCTCTTACTGTATGTTTATACACTGTGACTAACACTGTTTTTCCCCCCTCTCTGTAGGACCTTATCAAACATGTACAGGCAAAAGGATACCCTAATGAACGTTTTGAACTCCTCACCAATTTTCCCCGTAGGAAACTTTCCCACCTGGACTATGACATCACGTTACAAGAGGCTGGCCTTTGTCCTCAAGAGACAGTCTTTGTGCAAGAAAGGAATTAGTTCTGCTTGCCTTCCCTCTGTGTCATCTTTGTCTGCAATATTAACTCACCAAGTATGCAGTTGGCTCCATGACATTGCAGAGCTGAAATCGGCCAGCCATTTGCTGACTTCTTTCTTTCCCTTCATGTTGTTCTTGGCAAGTGATCCACCTGAAAATAGCAGAATAAATTTATTTGGCATTGATGCTGGAGAAGAGCATGCCTGCCCCAGTGATTCATTACTGTTTCAGAATAGGAAGGATGGACTGACTGTATGTCATTGTCCAGCATGCATGGGACATTAAACAGCTGGAAGAAGAAATAGTTTGCCTTCCTCTCAGAAAAAAGTCTATTTTCATTAATATAATTTATTTTTAAAAGGCCGTGTAACCAGGGATTAAGGGCTTCTTCAGACAGCTGCGAAGTGCATAGAAGTAGTAAGAAGCAATTTTGTGTTCCCATTGCCCTAGCTAGGAATTGGTTTTCAAGTAGGCATGGCTTTCTTCTTCTTCTGTAAAGCCAGTATTCTAAAATCTGAATCTTGTACATGATACCAAGTGTGCAGCTCTAGATTGCCATGGATTTGAAGGCACCACACTTTTTCTGACAAGCAGCACATGCGTAGATAACTGTTTTTAGAAGTCTTAATCCCTGCCAATGTGTGGAGAAATTATAAAAATAGCTGAAGGTCTCTTGACCTGTAGCACTTTGAGATTCACATCAAACCCTGTTCCAGAAAGGGCCCAGAATGTGAAACAGTAGAATGGCTCCTTTTGTTACAGATAGGATGAAGTGCTTTAAAGGAATAAAGAAATTAGCCAGTAGATCTAGTATAACATAACTCATTCCTGCCAAACTTTTGTACTTGGTTTAGAGCTGCTCCATGTTCTTTCCTTTATACAGTTAAAAGAGGAGCAGGGGTGAGGGGAAGTGTTTTGATCTTCAGTTAGGATTTTACCAGCAGCAAATTCTGGCATGACAACTGGCTATGAATGTAAGACTTGTTAAACAACTTCTGTAATAATTTAAAACTGCTTCGATGTACCATGCCA